ACACATATACATATGTGTGTATACATATATATATATGTATATATATACATATATATGTATATTAAATACACACACACACACACACACACACACCACACAACTTCCAAAAGCAGTCTGAACCACCAATGTACACTGCCAAATAGAAGAGTAGAACAGATCTCAGTTCTGGGTTCTTGACCTGTGTCCAATTCATCTCCCCTTTTCAGCCACTTGAACAGACTACTCTTGGAACTCTTGAAATAACATCTTGTTTTATATAGATGTGTCTTTTAAAAATAGTTCATGTTTGGAGAATTCTTTTGTACTCATTTGTTTTTTGTCTGAGAACCATGTCTATTTTTATAACTCAAGTGTGAGTTCTATATACTCTCACATTCTGTATACTGTGTCGCATTTTCTAGAGAACCCAGTAGCTTTTATACAGTCTCTTCTTACACCTCTGTGGTTTCAGAACAAACTTAATTTTATTACAATTACACTAATGGCCACTAATTCCTGTCCGATTCTACTTGCTATTTTAGTTATGGAGGTAGTTCTATGTAATCCAGTTTATTACTCTTCTAGCAGATAGACAGAGTTCAAAAGGCATCAGGTCTTTGTGTAAGCTTACCTGGTATTCTATTAAAGAATGATTTTTTTTGTCAGAAATAACTGGGAAAGTTTGGGAAAGCCAGCCATAGCAGTAATAATTCATTATGAAAGCAAACAGAAGAAAACAGTATATTTTCAGGTTTTTTTTTCCTCCTCCCCCAAGAAGTCTGGAAAAAGTTCTTATGTCACCAGTTTCTCTGTTGCATGAATTTTAGTGTTTTGCTCTATGACAGCATGAGGGTTATCAGGCCAAAAGTTTGTTACTGTATTTACAGTAAATTTATCTTGAATGTCTGTCTCTTAAATCAGTTTTTACTTGTTTTTTTTCAGTGAACAGTCTTACCATTATGTGGATTTTTAACTTTTCAGGAAAATTAAATCAGAAAAATTTCAGTCCTCTACTTTTGTGTTTTATCTCTTTTTTGAAAAGGAGCTATATGGCCTTCATCCCTCCATAAAGAGTGTAATTTGAATTCAGGGGAGAACACAAAAGATAACTTCCCAACCTTTAGCTCATGTACCATGGATAATGACTAAGCACTTCCTACTGGAGGACATCACTTTCATAACTGTGTGAATTGTTGTGGTAATCATTCTGGTTTCTAAAGTGAGAGGAGCTTCTGAGCAGGTATAGGCATTGATTCATTGTATTTCAATAGACTTCTATTTGGCGGCATTCTAGGGGGCCTTGTGACTTATGTATAGTGTTGTCCTCTAGTGCTACTGGGATAGACCATCCCGCTACTGCTGAAGTTCTCTTTTCATTAGAAAAAGTGAAGAACTAGAATGTTTATAGAGTTCATAATTTCTAAACCATGTTTGGTTAAAAACAAAACTAGTTGAGAGCTCAGTTCTTTAAAAAAAAGTCATTTAAAAACTGAAGACTGGTTCTCTTCTTGGTTCATTCCCTAAATTAGCTGGGATTAGAACACATCACAATTTGTACCTAAAGAATTTGGTTTAAATACACTTGGTAATGGTAATCCTACTTATGAACTTTTCAGCTCTTTTTGACTGAGATGGTCGTAAGGGAAAATATCTTTATGTTCTACATCCAATCTAAGAGGACTATACTTAAAAGCATTTGTTGATTAAAATTATTTTCATTTTTTTCCATTAAATAAGTATTATGACTGCACACTCCTTCAATTGTCTGAATTTATGTAAGAGGTATAGCTTGCTTAAAATGCATATATATGTAAAATTATATTTTCTTAGAAACATGGACGTTTGCAACCATTGCTTTCAAAGAGATTATTATTGTGTATTCTCCATTTTACAGTGTTTTCATGAAAACTATGTTATACCAGCAGCTTCTGATTATTAATAACCAGTTTTAACTGCCTGTACCAGATTTGTGAATTAAAACACACACACACAGAGAATAAAATGGAGTTTGCAAACAAAATCCCATCAATCATTTTCATTTATTGACTGAGATTAATCATAAAGCCATTACATTTAGTGAAGGCAGATTTCCTCAAGTGTTCTCCCTGGCAGCATGTTTACTCATTATCTGGAGAGTAGAGATGAAGATTACTTTATTGCTACAGATAGTTTACTACTGGTATTTCTAATTAAGCACAAAATTATGATCAGAGGATTATGTAATTTTGCTCTTCTTTTGAAATTATATGTAAATACACAAATACACTTATTTATTTATTTTGGGTGGTACTGAGAATCAAACTAAGGGCCTCACATATGCTGGGCAAGTGCTTTACTACTAAGCAACATCCTCAGACTGTAAAAGTAAAAATAAAAGCCTCAGAGAGACAAAAGAAGTCTCTAATTTGCAAATACAAACACTAAGGAAAGATTCAGAGATTTCTTTTTTGGTGTTGAGAAATGAACCCAGAACACTATATGCTATTCCACTAAACTACACCCCTCCAGCCAAAAATGTGTATTTACTTATCATTTTCAGATGAAGTCTCACTGTCTTACCTGGGCTAGTTTCCACCTCTTGATGGGCTCAAGTGTGAATCTTGTGAATGGCAGACTACAGGTCAGCACCAAGACCCAGGCAGAAACATGTAGTTAAAAGAACTAGAATTTCCAAATCAATCTGAAAGCTTCAAAATTTAAGTAGGCTCTATTTAGCACTGCAGTTTAAATGTGTGATAAATCTAAACCTTTAGCCTTGAGTGTTTTTGTTTGGCTTTTTTTTTGGGGGGGGGGGGGGGTAACTTATGATTGAACCCAGGTGTGCTTAACCATGAGTCATATCTCCAGCCCTTTTTATTTTTTATTTTGAGGTAGGGTCTCAGTAAGTTGCTTAGGGCCTCACTAAATTGCTGAGCTGGCCTCAAACTTGCAATCCTGCCTCAGCCTTTTGAGTTATAGGGATTAGAGGCATGGGCCACCCCACCATGCTTGGCCTGAGTACATACTTTTAACTATTAATTGGCTATCCCATCATTATGTTACTGTTAAATATGTTCAAAACAATTCAAAATATTTCAGTACTAACTAACATCTCTTTCCATCTACCTACTTTGTATCAGTGATATTTCCATTTAGGACTTTTTGAGTCTTTTAGTTTTCAATTTTCTTTATCCAATCTGTTTAGGCAACTCCAGGCTGTTCTTTTAGGACTTGAAAACAAAATTCCATTAATCAAATTCCTAATTCTAGGATCAACTTGCTACCCCTGGACTATTTAAGCTGTGCTCTCTTACAATTTAGCTATACCGAAATGTAAAGTACATTCAAAATGCAAACTATTGTTGAAAAATGCAAAACAAGGTTTATGCAAGCCTACTCAAGTGAACAGTAAAACTGCAGATCACCTTATACTTTATAAAAAAGGCTTAGAACCAACCTTTAAAATGCAGTGGAAGTAGCAAGATATTTTAGTCAATTAAAAATAGTTTCAGCATTTTTATAACCACTTATTAAGTTACAGAATAAGCCATTTCATCAATTAATCTTCCATTGCTTCTTCCAATTGTTACTCATAAGTAAAAATTTTACAAAATTACTACTCAATTTTAATTATTTCAAACATGCATTTTCATTTAATCTGGAAATTTTATTTCTCAGTTATGATGTCTACATAAAATTGTTGGGCAGTTGTGCCTGCTTAAACATTCCTAATTTAAGTAGGTACGAAATAGTCTCACGAGGCTTTCTTTGTTATTATTCCAAATTAATTATCAGGGAAGTTGAATGCTTTCAGACATTGATTTCCCCCCAATTTCTTCTTGTGTTCTTGGCGTTCCCTGACCATGTGTACAATGGGGACTTCCTCCCAATGTCATCTTCAGCTTAGAGATAATGAGCTGTTTTCTAATTATGAAATAACTGTACAATAGAGGTGTACCTAACAAATTGTGTACATAAGTCTTCGTTCATTAATTCAAAAATGCATTTAGCACCCACTATTTACCAGGTACTATATATACTATAACTCTGAAGATGGCGAAGAACAGTACAAAGATTCCTGCCCCCACTGGGATAATTTGGTTTTGACATGAAATACACTCATGAGCCACATAACGGTGTTTGGTTAATCTACCAAATATACGATGGCGAGCCCTTAAGATTATATCGCCTAGTGACATTGTAGCCACCTTTGTTTAAATGCACTCTGTTCACACAACCACAAAATAGACTAACAATAAATTTCTCATGATTGCACCTTAAAGGAAGGCTTTTTGGCTATTTAAAGGAATTCTGTGGTGATTAGGAGGTAACACAAATCTGTTTTGCAAACTTGTTAAAATCTTCATACAGGAAGTAGGTTTAATCCTACTAGAGTACATTTGACTGTGGGAATGTGCCTTCCGCCTGGCTGCCCTTCACACCACCTGGCTGGAAAACCTGGTACTGCCGTGTCCGGAGGGGCTACAAACCTGAAATTAAATCTTTGTAACCTAGTACAGCCCGCACAGGGCGAGGCCCCAAGCCGGGTCACTTTGGGCCTTGCAGAAAGGGCACATCTCCCGAACCCTTGGACAGCCCCGCAGGCGGTTCCTGGCACCTTATTCCCGTGAAGCGACACTCCAAGCCGCTGCCCCCTGATCTAAGGCTCCCATCGATCGCCCGGCCACTCTTCGGGCGCGTACCCAGCTCCTCGTCAAAACAAGGCCACCCCCCTCCCCCCAGCATCTCCCACAACGCCGCTATTAGCCAGGCTCTCTCCGCCTTTTCTTTCTATCTTCTGGGATGCCTCTCTTAGAACTCCGTCACCTTCCTCCCTTCTCCCATTCTTTGGCCTTCCAAACTGGGTGCCTGCGGCAGCTTCGCTGAAACACGCCTATTCGGGTGGGTCCTAAGTAGCCGCCTCACCCGCCCAGAGCCTCCCAGACCAGGTCCCGGCGGAGGAAGAGCGTTGGTGGGGCGCACTACTGGACTGCGGAGGGGCGGTGTGAATTCTCCGAACCGGTTTTACGACAACGTGCGGCTGCGCAGAGTGGCTGACGGCAAAGCCGCGCTGCTCTAGGAGAGGTCACTCCGGAGACCGTATAGGTTTTGGGGCGTGGGGGGATCAGTGGCATTATGTGGCGCGTCTGTGCGCGACAGGCCCAGAATGCAGCCCCAAGGACTGGACTCGGAGCTCGATGGACGGCCTCGCGGGAGGGATCTGCAGCTCAGTGTGTGAGCCGGCGGTCTGGCCCCGCTCGTTGCAACAGCACAACCACAAGGTATGGCGGGGTCCGGGCATTGGGCGGCTGGAGCCCCAACTCTGGCGCCACTCCGCGGAACCGCTTACTGTTGCAACTTCTGGGCTCGTCTAGCCGCCGCAGTTATAGTCTCCCCCCGCATCAGAAGGTAAGCTATCAACCTGGGACCCGGTTGCCCTTCAGGGCACTCTTCTTGGCCTTGGGAACCTCCAGAGGCCCCAGTGATCTTCCAACTCCTCCCCAGTATCTGTCATCGCGCCTTGTCCAATACCTAGCTTTGCTGCAGCTCTTGAACGCCCTTCTTAAGGTCTGTTCCATTCAAAGGAGAGTTCCAAGCCTGGAGCTGTGTGTTAAACATCTGCTGAGGTTAGGGCTTTGTCAGACCCACTAGACTGTGGAGGAGGAAGCCTGCCACTGGAAATAATAAACTTCTGGTAGGCAAGAACTCCCTTTCTATCTCCAGGACCCAGTGTGTAATGGGACTCAGTAAACTTTTTGCATGAAATTGAATTGAGTGAAACCTTAAAGGAGACTGAGAATTAAGCAGCTCTTGTTGATTTAATGCTTTTCCTTTTTCTCTTCCAGGTTCCATTGCCTTCTCTTTCCCCCACAATGCAGGCAGGCACAATTGCCCGTTGGGAGAAAAAAGAAGGAGAAAAAATCAATGAGGGCGATCTAATTGCAGAAGTAAGTTTTAAAATATGGAGATGAGTTCGAAGGGGCTGGATATGCTGAACAGCTTTGTAGCTTTGTGGATGCATAATATACCCTTTGCTTAAGAAACAGATTTTTTCCCCCCTGCAACGTGATATTAGAATTGGTTAAATAAGTGGTCGGTCAGCAGCTGGCTAAACTGATCTTTTTTTTCTTTCTTTTTTGGTACCGGGATTGAACTCAGAGGCACTTAACCACTGAGCCATATCCCCAGCCTTTTTATGTATTTTATTTAGAGACAGAATTTCACTGAGTTGCTCAGGCCTTTGCTAAGTTATTGAGGCTGGCTTTGAACTCAAGATTCTCCTGCCCATAACCCACTTGAATCTAATGTATGAAATATGATATGTCAAGAGCTTTGTATTGTTTTGAACAACCAATAAAAAAAAAAAGAAAGAAAAAAAAGAAAAAAGATTCTCCTGCCTCAGAGCTGCTGGGATTACAGGTGTGCACCACCGCCCTGGCCCAAACTGCTCTTTCTTTACTCAATGTATTTTAAAAGAATTCTTTCTTTCAAGTCCATGATAATGGCTTTATTGTCATATGACTGTTGAACTGTATAATTCTAGACAGTTCTGGGTACTGGCAGTACAAAGAAAACTTAAGTTTCTGCTTTGTGTTAAAAGGTTGAAACTGATAAAGCCACTGTTGGATTTGAGAGCATGGAGGAGTGTTACATGGCAAAGATCCTTGTTGCTGAAGGTACTAGAGATGTTCCAGTTGGAGCCATTATTTGTATCACAGTTGGAAAGTAAGTAGAACCCTCACAATTTGTGAAAGTTCAGTGCTTCTCAGAATATTTTAACTAAGAATTGAGAAATAAGTAAAGGCTGTGTGTGTGTGTGTGTGTGTGTGTGGTGCTGGGGATTGAACCCAGGGCCTTGTGCATGTGTGAGGCAAGCACTCTACCAACTGAGTTATATATATATCCCCAGCCCCTAGTAGAGACTTTTGAAGACTTCTGTGGGAGCTGAATTTACTTTATAACTCCTTTATATTTACACATTCTTTCTTTTCCTTAGACCTGAAGATATTGAGGCCTTTAAAAATTATACTTTGGATTCCTCAGCAGCTCCTACCCCACAAGTAGCCTCAGCACCAACTCCAGCTGCTGCTACTGCTGCTGCTACTGCTGCTGCATCTCCATCCACGCCTTCTGCTCAGGCTCCTGGTAGTTCATATCCCACCCATATGCAGGTGAGGCTCAGCTGAGTATTTGCTCTAAACGATTTAATATCTATACATTTTTCATAGATGGCTATCACATACTGGAAACTGGCATTAAATGTGGTTAGGTTTTGTCATTTGTGAGTATATGGAGATTTAACCATGAAAATTGATAATCTTTGATCTTAGTTGTTATTTCCAGGTATGTAACTTAGACAATTCTTTTAACCTTTCTCCACTCAGCCTCCATGTATTACACAGTATAATGCTTGGCAATTCTTACTCAAGAACATTATGTTCCACAATTATGCATTGTCAGTGGGACTGTGGACTAGTACAGCTACTCTAGAAAGCAGAGTGGAGATTCCTCTAAAACTAGGGATGGAACCACCATATGACCCAGATATCCCATTCCAGAGTATTTTCCCAAAAGACCTAAAATTGGCAAACTACAGCACCATAGCCACATCAGTGTTTATAGCATCAGTGTTTATTCACAATAACTAAATTATGGAATCAAACCAGAAGCCTGTCGATAGATGAATGGATTAAGAAACTGTGATATATGCCTGGGGTTGTAGCTCAGTGGCAGAGCACTTGCCTGGCACATGTGAAACCATGGGTTTGATCCATAGCACCATATAAAAGTAAACAAATAAAATGAAGGCATGCTGTCTATCTACAACTACAAAATTTTTTTAATTGTGATATATATATATATATACACACACACACATACACGCACAATCATTCAACTCAATCAATAAAAAGCATGAAATTATGGCATTTGCCAGTAAATGGGTGGAAATGGAGATTATCATTCTGAGTGAAATTAGTCAAACTCAGAAACTCAAAGGTTGAATGTTTTTTTTCTCATGTGGAAGCTAGAGTAAAATAAAGGAAAGGGGGAGGGAAGAATAAAATTACATAAGGAACCAATCAAATACAAGTTAATAGATGATTAAAAGGAAGTCTAGTGGACTAGCAGAGGAAAAGGGAAGCAGGGTGGGGAGGACAGGAGGGAAATCGGGGGCTCATGAATTGAAACAGATTTCCATGCATGTGTGTGTTTGTTGGGATAAACCCAGCTACTATATATAACCATAAAGCCCTAAGGGGGAAAAAAAAAAAACACAAAAAGAGCTGAGTGTCAAGGTGCATGCTTGTAATCCCAATGGCTCAGGAGGCTAACTGAGGCAGGAGGATCTCAAGTTCAAAGCCAGCCTCAGCGATAGCGAGGCACTAAGCAACTTAGTGAGACCCTGTCTCTAAATAAAATAAAAAATAGGGCTGGGGATGTGGTTCAGTGGTTGAATTCCCCTGAGTTCAATCCTTGGTACTCCCCCCGCCCAAAACCCATAAAACATTATGTTCCAGATTTTGAAGGTGATTTTACTTATGTTTACTCCCTGTACAAATGGAGTGCCATCTGTTAAAAGTCCTCAGTTGGTGTTGTTATTGTCAGGGTGTCCAGTTGGGTTCCAGGTCCTTGGTGTCCCGAACAAAGAATTGAGCAAGACACATAAGTAACAGGTGAAGTATAGATTTATTGAAGGTGAAGATGGAAGTAGCACTCTGTAAGGTAGAGCAGAGTGAGCCTAGTAAGAGAGAGCTTCAAGGCCGCAATGTCTGGAAATTAGTGTTTTATTTAAAAGTCTAAGAAGATAGCAGATGAGCTGTGAGGCATTTTCTTCCCTATATGGACCTGATGGAAGATCTTACTGGTCACCTTATGAGACCTGGTTAGAATATTTTCAATTTTCTCCATTAGTTATTTTAGAAAACCTAATTAGAATACTGCTCAGTTTACTCCATTGGTCATTTTAAAATACTGAACCCATGGCAGGAATTGGCATGGTAATGTCAACAGAGACATAACTCACCTCCCTGTGTTGTCCTCCAGCGCATCCTTCTTTTATACCCTGCCTCTGCCACCTTGGTGTCCCTGAACTCCTGCCTAAGAGTGTTTTCCTTTGACATGTGTTGGTCTACTTTTGCAGAATAGGTGAAGTACTTCTGTAGTATTCATAAATGACAATAAAGAGTAAGTGGGCAGTAAACACATAGAATAGCACTGCAACAAAACTGAAAGCTATAAATGCAGTCACTGTTGATTGTACTAAGTCACTTTCTAAGAAATTAAATCAGTTTATATTAGAGTAGTCCTGTGTATATTTGTATATTTTTAATGTTGAAATTGGATAAAAAACTAGTTATCCTTTTCCTAAAGGATTAATATCTGAACTTGCTTTAACTTATTTTTTCTTGAAAATTTTGTTTAAGAATCATTTTCTTCATTGGAAATAATGTTCCACTTCAAGGACTATTAGTAACAATCACTTATGATGAAATTTTACCTGGTCTTACAATTCACACAGTTATTTCATCCTGTTCAACAGATTCTATCTCATTACATAAGACCTCATTTCTCTCCATTTTATGTCTTCAGCTTTGTATGCAAATGTATAAGTGTTGGGTTGTGCCTTAATTATTGAGATTATCGGCTCTAGTCTTTGGTTTTTTTGATTGAACCCAGGGGTGCTTAACCCCTGAGCCACATCGCCGGCTCTTTTTTATATTAGCGACAGGGTCTCAGTCCGAGGATGGCTCTGATCCTCCTGCTTCAACTTCCTGAGCCACTGGAATTACAGGCATGCACCACCAAGCCCAGCTCCAGTCATTTTTAAGAAACAGATGAAGATGGCAAATTTTGAATAAACAAAGCATTTTTAAAGAATTTTCAGTCTTGTTTTACTTTTCCCCCTCTTCTGGAGACATCTTTGATTGAAATTACTTTCCCCTCAACATCAGACTATTCAGTATTGCTAATTAGATACAAAAGCCTAAGAAGACAGCAGATGAAGTCCATTATAACTGATGGACTGAATAACCATCCACATTCAGTGTGCACGCAAACTATAAAACTAAGAAACCAATTTTTAATTAATTAATTTTTACAGAAGGTCCACTAAAGGTGCAAAGATCCAAGACCATTTTTATTTTGATGAAATGCATGTTATCTAAATTTTTCTTTGCTTGCTTGTATTTTGGTGTCAAATCTAAGAATCCTTTGCCAAATCTGAAGATATTCCGCTATGTGCTCTTATATGATTTTTGGGAGATTGACTATATACCAACTCAAATGGCAAAGGGGCTACAGATATAGCTTGGTGGTAAAGCATGTGTTTAGCATGCACAAGGCCCTGGGTTCATTCTACAGCAACACATTAAAAACAAATAAAATATATATAAGGAGTAATATACACATAAAGAGAACTCTAACCCATAATTTGCAACAGCCAGTCCAGGAAGCCAAACAATATCCTCTGCAGTGTTTTTCCCCAAAGTGACCAGAGATGGTTAATAACTGCCAGGTTCTTTGTTTTTTAATATATTTTTTTTTAGTTGTAGTTGGATACAATATTGTTAATTAATTAATTAATTATTTTATGTGGTGCTGAGAATGGAACCCAAGACCTCACCTGTGCTAGGCAAGCTCTCTATTGCTGAGCCACAACCCCAGCCCCCTGCCAGGTTCTTTAATTTTTGTGCCTCCTTCCAACTCAAGACCAACCAGAGGTATTTTTAATTTTTAATTCAGATGTTTCCATTTTGTTGGTGTGGAAACGACTATTATAAGAACAGTTTTTGAGGAACTGGGAGTGTAGCTCAGCAGTAGAGCACTGTTTAGCATTCATGAAGCCCTTGTTTAATCCCTAGCACCCTCCCACAAAGAAAAACCCAAAATTAAAAAAAAAAGACCTACAGTTTTAAAAAATTTTTAGTTTAAAGAATTAATTTAAATGGACATAAATTCTTTGAATTTATAATTATAATGTTTTGAAATATGTATACATTGTGAATGGTGAAATTGAATCAATGTACATTTTTATTAACTACAGTCTCCAAAGAATAGTTCTTACTGGTTTTGTAAATCTTATGTCTAGGAAGTTTGGGACAAATGTGGTTTCCTTTGGGTGAAAAGATGTATGGAGCACAGTAAAATTTTAGCAGAGGAGTTCGGACCAGATCAGTTTGTAAACAAAAAAACTTCCATCTTTTTTGTGTGTGTGGTGCAGAGCCTTGTAAATACTGTGCAAATGCTCTACCACTGACTGCATCTCCAGTCCTTTTTATCTTTTATTTTGAGACAGGATCTCACTAAGTTGTTCAGGTTGGCCTGGAACTTGTGATCCTCTTACTCAGTCTCCTGAATGGCTGTGATTTCAGGCTTGCACCACCATACCTGGCAAAAAAATTCTATCTTTTATTTATTTATTTATTTATTAGTTCTAAGTGGACACAATACGTTTATTTTATTTTTATGTGGTGCTGAAGATAGGACCCAGAACCTCACGCATGTTAGGCAAGTGCTGTACCTCTGAGCCACAATCTTAGCCCCTCCAAAATTCTATCTTAACCTAAATGTTATAGAAAGATGAAAAGATACTCTATGATTACATATTTATTGGGGAAATTGACTAAATGGAAAAAAATTTCTTCCCATCTACCTGTTACTTTGAACTTTGGATGGTGTGTCTGCGTATGGCTGGTACACTTTAAAGCTTGAGATGATCTGAAGGATCACCTGTATTTAACTGGTGGAAAGCTCTTGAGGCACTGAGCTTTCGATGTGATGACTGTTTGGACTCTCAAAGTCACTATCACTCCCTGAAACTGTATAAGGTTGCCTGAGTGCTTTGTGTCCAATGCTTCTTAATATTAAGCAGTATTATGTATTTACTTCTACAGGTACTTCTTCCTGCCCTTTCTCCTACAATGACAATGGGTACAGTTCAGAGATGGGAAAAAAAAGTGGGTGAGAAGCTAAGTGAAGGAGACTTATTGGCAGAAATAGAGACTGACAAGGCCACTATAGGTGAGATTTCTTCAGCTCTTAATGGTTGAGGCACTAAGTTTTCCAGTGAGCAAGAGGATTATCATTCTTTCTTGTCACAAGTGAATGATGATGTGAAAATTTTACAATTTTTAGGATTCATTTCCTGGGACAAGAGTTTTATAACAAAAATGTATATGGTCAGATTTGTCAGGTACATATCACATTCATTGAATCAAGAAGAATGTCAACTCAGATTATTCTTAGGCCAGAGTTTGCTTCTTAGCCTTATTTTTATGTTACTGAAAAGCTATATCATAACTGCCATTGTCTAAACTGGGCAAAAAAACAGAAGAGGAGAAAATCACTCCCAAGGCAGGAAAATATAAAAAAAATTAAGATGGCTTCAAGGGAAAGCTGAAAACCAGGGTTTAGATTGTTTTCATAGTTTGAAAATGACATGCATATTAATCTGTTCCAATATTACATTTCCATGTTCCCCCTTTTTTGATTTGTTTTTATGCTCAGAAATAAAATGCATATAGATAATCTTATATTTGTGATAATATTTAGGATATTTGTAGGTATTATGAATTTCTTGCCCTTTTCTCCATAGTCGTCAATAAAGGGAGCCTGTCCATTCTACAGAGATGTAGTAGAAGATCCTAGGCATCTTCTGCAGTAGTACTTGGCAGATTGTATTCTCTTAAACCCCATCATTACTCACTGGCATCTTGGCAAAGGAGAATTAAAGAATAGGACCCTACAATGCCCCATTTCCTCCCCTACTCTACCAGAACAGTTCTTTTTCTTTTGTAAATTGTAGTTCTCCATAAATGGGTGTTTTTTGGGGGAAGATGGTTATTTATCTAGGAGTCAAAACTTATTTATCTTCTCCAGTGGCTTCTTTTAGTTTTACTTTTGCAACTCTAATTTTTGGTTCCTTATAAGAAAAGCAGTAGCTGAATAAAATATAAGTTGTCAACACCGTAGACATTTCAGTAATGTTGCATTTCTTCACATTGAAATATTTAGTATAACACTAAATATAACCTCTTTGAAAAGCCCCAAGGAAACTTTTAGAATTGAACTTCAACATCACTGTTCATCGGATGTTTTTTAATTTGATGTCCATGTGGCTGTGATTTTTATGTGTACAGCTGACACTATCTTGAAGTCTTGTAAGTCTGCATGGGATCTGCCCTTGGAGATATTTTTAATAACTTTGAGAACTAATCATTTTCTCTAATCTCTGATAGTTTTTATTTAGCAGATACAGTTGCTCCTCAGAATCCACAGGGAATTGGTTCCAGAATAAAAATCTGTACATGTTAAGCTCAGATGCATTATTTTTTTCAAATGATTTTAGTCCTGTGGATTTGGAGGGTCAGCTGTATTTGTACCAGGTATTGTTTCTAAATTCATTAAAATACCTGAGGTAGGTATAGTCATTCCTTGTTATCTAGAGGGAGGCGGGGAATTGCCCCCCCAATCTGCAGATAATTAAGTCTCTTATATAAAATGGCATAATATTTGCATAGAATTTATATGTATTCTCTCATATTTGCCATATATTTGTTTTTTGTTTTTTCTTTTTGATGTGCTGGGGATTGAACCTAGGGACTTGTGCATACTAGGCAAGACCTCTGCTACTGAGCTATTCCCTGACCCCTCCTATATACTTTAACTCATTTCTAGGTTACTTCTAATACCTAATACAGTAAAAACTAAGTAAGTAGTTGTTACACTATATTGTTTAGGGAATAATGACAAGAGAAAAAAGTATATATATATCTTCAGTATAGATGCAATTATCATAGACTTAACTCAGGAACAGTATAAAATTTTGATCTATAAATGGTTAAATCCAATGATGATTGTAGTATAATTTTGCCCATTTTATAAAGAAACTGAGGTCCAGGTTAAATAGCTTATAAAAAGGCTATGTAACTAGTTAGAATGAAAAAAGCCTGTACTTAAAACTCTACTGTTTGTATTAATAGTAGAGTCTTTTAATTACCATAATTTTTTTCTTTCTATTTAAGGTTTTGAAGTACAGGAAGAAGGTTATCTGGCAAAAATCCTGGTTCCTGAAGGCACAAGAGATGTCCCTCTGGGAACCCCACTTTGTATCATCGTAGAAAAAGAGTCAGATATAGCAGCATTTGCTGATTATAGGCCAACTGAAGTAACTGATTTAAAACCACAAGCACCACCACCTACCCCACCTCCGGTAGGTATGGCTCCAGAATCAAGGGAACATTTATCCTGTTAAAGAATAAATTAAAGGGATGTGATTAGATGATGTCCTAGGTTCCTTTGAGCTCCAAGATTATATGAATAGGGAAGGGGATAGTTGGTTAACATTTGTAGGGTTAGTTGGCACTGTGCCTTGCTTTTAATGGTCAGTAGTTTGAGCCTTCTAGCTTTTTTCCCACTGCTGTCTTGAGTCCTGCTGAGAAAAATGTGGAGGTGACATAGTCACATTTACTATATGATGCCTGACATTTCTTATCCTTTTAGGTATTTACATTTTTTAGTAGGTCGAGTATATATTTGTAATGCACTGGAAGCTTGACAAGCATACTTGTTTTGCATAGAATTTGGCATATTACCATATACAATGTATTGTACAGTATACATCTAAAAAATGAACTTGTGTGAACTCCAAGCATAGATAGATAACACAGTGAAGCTTCTGCAGATGCTAGAATCATGTGAGTTCAGACTAGATGCACATTACTGTAGGAGAAAATTTGATTTCTGAGTGTCCTTCATTCACAGGGAGCTAGAAAGTAGCAGTGTTAGTTTATTTTTTTAAGATACTTTTCAACTTGGAACATTCTAGCATAATTTTGTATTTTGAAATTTGATTAAATAAAGACAAAAGCTAGTTGGTGATGTACTTAATCAGTATAAAGTAATGTCAAGTGATTGAAGTGAAGAGAGGCTGTAAGGATATTATATACTGGTCAGCAGTATTAAATTCAATACCTGTCCATGTTTTCCTAAGATAACTTGACTTTGTTCTGTCTTTGTCATAAAGGATTGTTTTTGCTGTTCCTATTGTTACACTGTGTTGGTTAAGCAGAAAGAAAGATCTTTGGGGAAAAGGATGCATGTTATTTAATTAAAATACCTTTTAATTTATTCATAAAATGTACACTTAAATCTTTCAGACCAATCTTTGCATGATGAATTAATAATTTGAAACTTTTTTCAAAGGTGGCCCCTGTTCCTCCAACTCCTGCACCTTTAGCTCCTACACCCTCAGCCACCTTTCCAACTGCTCCTGCTGGACCAAAGGGAAGGGTATTTGTTAGCCCTCTTGCAAAGAAGTTGGCAACAGAAAAAGGAATTGACCTTACACAAGTAAAAGGTAAGACTCTGTCTATGGCATGGAGTTGTAAAGTTAAAATATAGTTGAATTTCCTTTTTGAAACCATTGCGTACAACTGTATATAATTGTCTTAAGTAGAATAATAGGATGATGAGGGAGGAAAATATCCCTTTATTGTCTCCACAGAGTAGGAAAACATTATTATGTTTTATTTAGTCTTCTTAGGATCTTCCTGAAGAATTTAGATACCTTTTAAAAATTGCCCTACCTTCATGGGAACTGCTTAATTGTTGGTGAAAATACACATTCTTGCTTAGCAAAGTTGGGTTTTAGGACCTGGTTTTGTAATAAGAGGATATTTTTTATTAGTGCTAGGTTTACTGAATGTAACAAAACAAAACATGAAGTAGGGGTGATTTTAAATGACTTAAAATAATAAAATTCGTATAAAACTGAACTAAAGCTCCCTAAGGGCAAGGGAAAAAGCTTTATTCAATCTTTTTTTCCCCAAAGTAAACATACAGCTTAGCCAGCTGTGGGGTGGTGCATGCCTGTAATCCCAGTGACTCAGGAGGCTAAGGCAAGGCTAGCCCCAGCAACTCAGCAAGACCCTAAGCAATTTAGCAAGACCTTGTCTCAAAATAAAAAATAAAAATGGCTGGGGATGTAGCACAGTGATAAATCACTTGGGTTTGGAATCTTAGCTTTTTATTGTTTTCTATGTTTTCATCTTTAGGTGAATGACTACTTAGCTTATCATATGTCTTTAGATGAATTTAAGATAGTAATGTATATAGAGAATGATGAGAATTAAATGTGTTATAAAGGTGAAGTGCTTAGAAAAGTATCTAGCATGTAAGTACTCAGTATGTATTTGTTGTCATTCATATTGTTACTATTACCTGGCACATAAATTCTTGTATTCTTGGATAAACTTAAGCTAGTTTAATGTAAAGTGATTTAAATACTTACTTGGAAAAGGAGGGGAATTAGTATTCTTGGAACCTGGTTTGATGGCTAATGCTATGTGTTGGTCATTTAATGTACCACATTTAATTTGAACAACAGTTTCTAAAGTAAGAATTAACCATTTTTTTGGGTAAGAACAGAATCTTAAGGAGTATTCCTATTTGTTACATAATGAAGTTGCAATTTGAATCTGGATTTGTTATATATCTAAAGTCTGTTTTTTTTCCCACCACCTATGCTGCCATAATTACTAAGGAAAAATATGGCTGGTTCCCCAGTTGCCCAGCTATGGGCACTCAGTGCTGGTTATCATCTGCCTGCAAACTACTATTTTGTAGTTAAAAGTCAAGCCAATCCCAAGATACAAGGATAGAAGGTTATAAATTGTTTGGACTTCACAGGATTCTTATAATATTGGCAGACTCTTTTTTTTTTGTCCGTCTTATGCTATTTCACTTGTATGTTGCCATTTCTTTCGTATATATGATTAGAGTCAAGATAGCAGTGTTAGTGGGAATAAATTTTGAAGACAGAAGAGGGACTAGATTATTATTTATATCTGAAAAATTTAAACAAGTTAAGAAAGACCATTCATTAGATAGTTGGCAACACTAACTAATGAGATAAGAAGGGAAAATCCCATTATTTTTACTATGCAGGCAGTTAGGTTATTCATTTATTATTATTTAAGCAAATATTCACCAAGTTCTATATACATCAGATCCTTGTTCATAAGATTTCAGTTTCATTTGCCTGCATGGTCGACAATAAAGAAATAAGCTGGGTGCAGTGGCACCTGCCTATTATCCCAGCAGCTTGGGAGGCTTAGGCAGGAGGATCACAAGTACAAAGCCAGCCTCAGCAATTTAGGAGGCCCTAAGCAACTTAGTAAGACCTTGACTCAAAAAATAAAAAGGGCTGGAGATGTGGCTTAGTGCTTAAGTGGCCCTGGGTTCAATCCCTGGTACCAAAAAAAAAAAAAAAAAAAGTGAACAGAAAGGAGATATATAGCTTGGTAATTAAGAGTGGGCTCTGATCAGAGGGAGGGAGGAGAAGAGGGAAAGGGAAGGTTCTGGAGAATGAGAATGATCAAATTATGTTATGTGCATGAAGTATGGGCTCTGGAGCTTGATTGCTTGAGTTTAAATGTTAGCTCTTTTAGTACTAGCCATGTGAACTTTGTGTCTCATTCTCTTCATTTGTGTATAAAAATAATACCTGATTTGTTGTGAGGATTACATGAGTAAATAAATGCATGTGCAGAGAAAGAATTTTAGGTATTAGCTGTTACGGTAATGTATTTTATTAAATGATGATTTCACTGTTAAGAAAGAAATAAGCTGAGTGATACACTAGTGACAGGATAAATATATGAACGGTCATGACTACTTTTAGACATGGTGGTTAGAGAAGATCTTTTGGATGAAGTGACATTTGATCTGATTGAAAGATGAGGAGTCAGCTTTGGGCCAAGCATGTGAAGTACAGAGGAAAGATCATTTGGGGCAGAGAGACCAGCAGTATACAGTCTAAAATGGAAAAGAGCTTGACATGTTTGAAGAATGTAATGGAACATGGGGAGCAGTGGGTCTGGTCTAGTGGTAGAAGATGAATGAGTTGGGGAAGAAGCACAGAGATGAGATTATTATGAACCTTATAGATCTTGATCAAGAGTTGAAATTTCATTTAAAGTATAATAGGAAGTCATTGAAAGACATAAGCAAGGAAGTGAAATAAAATGATTTATGTTTTGTAAGAGAATATTTTGGTTGCTTTGAGGAAATGGATTAAATGAAAGCCAAGTTATCTGTTAAGATGGCTGGAGCTAATGATGGTAGCTTAGACAAGGGTGGTGAAAATAAAAAGAAATGAACAACTTTAAGACACATTTTTTACCTGGAATCAACAGAACTCAATCAAGGATTTTATAGAGGACAACAGTAATTTCAGAAGAATGATTGAGTGGAAACCTATCTGAATAAGTCAAGAAGTAGATGTGAAATGGAGAGAGGATTGTGGACAACTCATTCAAGAAGTCTAGCTGTTGCTGGGCATGGTGGCTCACGTCTTCTATCCCAGTGGTTCAAGAGGTTCAGATAGGAGGATCAGGAGTTTAAAGCCAGCATCAGCAACTTAGTGAAGCCCTAAGCAACTCAGTGAGACCCTGTCTCTAAATAAAATACAAAAAACGGCTAGAGATAGTAAGTGCCCCTTAGTTTAATCCCTGGTACTGAAAAGGGGAAAAAAAAAAAAAGCTTGCTATGAAGAAAGGCATAGGAATAATGATAGCTTTAGATGGATGTGGACCTAAGAGGGTTTTTTGCTGGGCATGGTGGCAAGTGCCTGTAATCTCAGCAGTTTAGGAGGCTGAGGCAGGAGGAGCATAAGTTTGAGGCCAGCCTGGGCAACTTCACAAGACCCTATCTGAAAATAAAAATAAGAAGGGCTAGGGATGTAGCTCAATGGAAAAGCATTCCTGGATTCTACACTCAATCCTGGGGAAAAAAAAAAGTAAAATTAAATAATAATAAAGTAAAATATATGTAGGGAGGGCTTTTGAAGATAAGTGTTAGAATGAATCTAGTATGGAGTTCCTCAGTAGTGGCACTATTGATTTTTTTGACCAGATAATTTTTTGTTGTGTGTGGGCTGTGACCTGTACATCATATGATGTAATGTTCTTGGCCTCAATCTAGTAAGGTGGTAGTACTAATCTCTACTTAGGACAAACAGAAATGTCTTAAGACATTATCATGGATTCCCTGGGGAGCTAAATTGCTCTCCTTGAGAATCAGTGGCCTAATAGAAAGGGATCAGTGGATGACATAGAAGGGGATTATGAGCAGGATGGTTTCACAAGGAACAAAGTTCTTAAGAAGGAATTCAAAAGAGCTGTGGCTGTGGTTCAGTGGTAGAGCACTTGTCTAGTATGCGTGAGGCACTAGGTTTGATCCCCAACACCACATTAAAAAAAAAAAGAAGGAATGTAATTGGCCTTTATAGAAATTAAGAACATTTTTATCTATTTTCATAGGAGAGAAAATATAGGATGGCTTTATCAGTTTGGTGGTAAAAGATGACAAGAGTTCCTTTTTGGTCACTACTGTTTGATAAATAAATGTGAAATGAAGATACTAGCTGGTTAATGAGTGAGGAAAATTTTGTGGTTAGAGCAATTAGAAAGTAGTAGCCTCAGAGATCAAAAAGGTGAATTTAAAGGAAATTATTGCATTTCTGGGCAGTTTTGTGTATCTGTTTTAGGTTTGTGTTTCTGTCATGTATTTCTATATAGCAACATTAAGTTGTCTCAGTGTTGACACTGAGAAAGATAAATAGTCTTAGGGTTTTGCAAAGGAGGATTATAAGAATAATCCATAGAATGTAAACTGGGTTAGGAGGAAAGTGAAGACCAGAGGGAGGTCATGGATAATGAGAGTAAAGGAATCAGTGGAGTGGTATCTTGATGAGGCAGAAGTGATTATTTTTTCATTGGTGGAAGGGTGTGGTCTGGGCTAAGTGAGCTCAGAGTATCAGTATCAGTATCAGTTATTGTGTGTTTTCTGACACCAAATGCTTGGTGTCCCCATATCCTTCAATTCTCTGATGCCAGCTGGGTGTCCAGGAATTCAGTCCAATTTTGACATTAGCTACCTAGATTTGGCATGAGTCCACAGGGCTCAGTCCTGCAAGACTCCCTTTACTTCAGTTACTTTCAGTTGCAAGGCCTGGGTGTCATCTTTATGTCTTAATCACTAGTTAGTAATCAGGAATCCCCAAGAACCTCTTCTCAGGTTTGGTGATTTGCTAGAACAACTCACAGAACTCAAGTAAACACTACTTACTACTATTGATTTGTTATAAAGGATATAGCTCAGAAACAGCCAAATGGATGAGATGCATAGGGCAAGGTATAGTGGGGAGGGGTACACAGAACTTCCATGCCTTCTCTGGCATGCCATCCTCACAGCACATGGATATGTTTAGTAACCTGGAAGCTCTCTGAATATCACTGTTAAAGAATTTTTTATTTTCAGTGTTGGGTATATAGCTCAGTGGTAGACGTTTTGTCAGTTCCCAGTACTGGAGGAAAAATGTTTATTTTCATAGACATGTCATTACAAAGACATGATTGACTAAACTGTTTTCCATTTTGTCATTGAACTCAATCTCCAATCTTCCTTCTCTCCCAGGAAGTGGGGCAGCAGAGGAGGAAGGAGATGGGGAGAGAGAAGGGAAAGGGGATTGAAAGTTAATTACCCTCAATCATGTGTTTGGTCTTTCTGGCTGACTAGCCCTGATCCTAGTAGCTATCTAAGAGCCCAACCTAAGGCACTTCCTTAGCAAAAACTCTGGTGTGGTATGAAGGGGCTTGTTATGAGTAATAGAAGACACTTACCACTCAGGAAATTCCAAAGGTTTCAGGAGGTCCATTCTAGGAACCTAGAACAAAGATCAAATATATTTTTTATTATATCACAGTGATGGCATTAGCAAGATGGTTGCTTGAATTCTAGATTCAGAGATATCTAGAATTACTAGTACTAGTTTAAGTACTAGTAATAATATAGTCTAGGATTTGACCTTAGAGGTTGGGGGTGTTCTTGTGGGTGGGAGGGAAAAGTTGGAGCTGAGTAACTTAGAAATCTGGGTTTTGAGTGGACTGTGGTTCCCAAGAGGACAGTGTGTTAAGATGCAATTAATCTGAGTAAATGGGAATAGTTATGAATTGGTAGATGAGAGACAGACATGAAGAAGAGTAGGCTGTATAACTAGATGACATGAACTTCAAAAGGGGTTGAGGTTTTTGAGGAGATAGAAAGTTTTAGAATTAGCTAGGAGGAGTAGCAAGGATACTTAATCCACATCCCAACTCTGAGCAGCATTATGTGAGAAAGAAAAAAAATAAGCCCAATTAAGGAAAAACTAAGGGAAAAGTTGAGTAAATCAACAGATTGTTTTGCAAATTTGACCAAAATATAATTAGTTAGGGAAAAACTATGTTGAACTCTAAACCTTGGTTCAGAGTTTGATTAGACTCAAGGCTGCCCATATAATATTTTATATTTCTTTGGTGCACAGAACTTTTTACATCACTATCCCATTTTGTCTTCAAAACTTTCCTGTGAACGGGGGGTTGATATTATAATCTCTGATCTACAAGTGAAAATGAGGACTAGATGAGACTATGTAACTATAGTCATCTGTCTAGTTTATGTTAGATAAGAACCCTCCATACTTTACTGCTAGTTCACTGTTCTTCCCTTTATGTCATTTTGCTTCATGAGTGTCTGCTATGTCTTCTTAGGCAGAGAGGCAAAGAAGGGTAAAAGATTTCATTAATTACTATTGGTTAGGAAGGCTGAAGCTTGGAATAAAGCAGGTGATGCTACAGGTTTCCTCCCTGGTGGGGCTGCACATCTCAGTGTCTAGCTCAGTTTTGGTTATAAGGGGAGGTTATGGTTTCTATCTTTTATAAAAGAAGATAATCTAATAGGGATGCTGACACCTCTGTTCTAGAGCTCCTGGTGAGGATAAACACAGTCCTAGACAACTCAGTTTTCATATTGAAGGAAAGGAATTGGGAAGAACTGCACACAACGAGAGCCCTTTTAAAAGTCTGCCATGGGGGAAGATGAATCAATTTGACCAAATTTTTTCTAGAAGTGGGCCAGTATAAAAGGTATTATAATAACTAAAGTCTGAATCTATCAAAATTAAAGGTCAGGATTATGTCCTTGGGTCTAACATTAAATGTATGCTGTTACAGATTGGAGGAGGGGGGGAAATTAAATAAAAATAATACTAAATCTCTTAAATCTATGGAGAGTACTTGGAGAGGTCCTTCCTCATAAGTGGCATTGTACCCGATTCTTTGTCTCTAACCAGTAGCTTTGGCTACTGTGAGAAAGCTGTGAATGTCTGAGACCACCTAAGGAATGAATAGTCCTCAAGATGAGATAATTAAAGTTAAAATTCATGCTATTGGGGGGTGAAAATTTGACGAGCCCAATTTGTCCAGACAATTACTCACATATCTGTCAACCCTGTAGAGGGAATTCTTTATGAAGTAAAGTGAGATTCTATTTCAGGTTGAGAATTTTTTGTTTCTGTTATTTTTTTCTTTCTTTTTATTTATTTAGCTAACAAGTAGGGAACAGTTTTTCTTACAGATGTGTAAACTGTGCTCAGCATTATTTTTTGCCAGTATTTCCCAAGTTAAAAGAAGATGAAAAAAAAAAAAAGCACAGCTTATTTAGATGGAAATCTAAAAGAGAAATAGGCCAGGTGCAGTGGCACATGCCTGTAATCCCTGGGGCTTGGGAGACTGAGGCAGGAGGATTGCAAGTTCTAAGCCAGCCTCAGCAACTAGGCGAGGCCCTGGCTCAAAATAAAAAATGTAGAAGGGCTGGGGATGTGGCTCAGTGGCTAAGAGCCCCCTGGGTTCAATCCCTGGTATGGAAGGAAAAAAAAAAAAAGAGAGAGAGAAATTTGGCATATGTTTAATCCCAGCTACTTGAGGAGGCTAAAGCAGGTCGATCACAAGTTCAAGCCAGCTTGGTAACTTAGTGAAACCCTATCTCAAGGGATGTAGCTCAGTGGAGTAATACTTGCCTCTCATCTGTCTCTGGATTAAACCTCCTGTACTTAAAAAACAAAAAATAAAAAGATTAATGAATAAACGCTGATATTTTAAGGGAGAACTTGAAGGACTAGGGATAAGACTGCAACCCCTATAGAGTGTTTTTGGTAGCAAACCCTTAGGAACTTGCACTTCAGGACAATGTTGATCTCCTTGGAGATCTAGTGGCATGCTGTCGCATATGTGATATTTATGTATTTCTTCTAGGGACGGGACCAGATGGCAGAATTATCAAGAAGGACATTGACTCTTTTGTGCCTACTAAAGTTGCTCCTGTGAGTTATATTTGACTCTACTTTTTTCAGTTTGTCCCTGCAGAGTGTTTTTGTCCTGCCTGTTATACCATTTCATACAGTATTAATGAAATAATTTAATCAAAACTGCATTTTCTTCTAATATCAGTGGCTTAACAATTTGCATTTGTGTATTCATCCCTCCGCCCTTGCCTTTTTTTTTTTCCTTTTTGATACTGGGGATTGAACCCTGGGGCTTTTTATCACTGAGCTACATACCCCGCCTTTTTTTTCAATTTTGAGACAGGGTCTTACTAAGTTATTACGGCCTCACTAAGTTGCTGAGTCTGGCCTGTGGTCCTCTTGCCTCAACCTCCTGAATTGCTGCAATTATAGGCATGTATCACCATGACCAGCTCAGCCCATTTTTAAAAACATATTTGCAAGTTGGTTGTCTTTAAGTTTATGTGTTTAATGAGTCTACAGAAGGACTAAATCTATATGTCCAAATTCTGTTTTATTGGGTAAGATGTTAAGATAATCAGCGAAATATGAGGAAAATTTTTTAGTTATTCAGTGTTCTCTTTATTTAATGTTTATTTTTTTTAGTTGTAGTTGGACACAGTACCTTTATTTTTTATTTATTCATTTTTATGTGATGCTGAGGATTGAACCCAGGGCCTTACACGTGAGAGGCATGTGCTCTGCTGTTGAGCCATAATCCCGGCCCCAGATGTTCTCTTTAAAATGAAAGATTTAGTCTTGTTTTTCCTTAACATTGTTCAGGAAATTGACTAGTTTGTTTATATTCATCTCTTAATCCTTTTAATTTAAGAATGCTTTGATTGCTTTATTGAGGGTAATTTTGCAAAAATAATATTATTTTGACATAATCTAGGCTCAAAGAAAAATGATACTTAAAACATGATTTCAGAATTCTAAGTAAAACCAATTAATAATATCTCTTAAATCTAATTCAAGTCCCTTTTGCTTCCTGGGGATATAACTAGCTGTTCTACAAAACTTTTAGTTTTTACTTTGCCATCTGTAAAGAGTCACTGGTAGTGTAACAGGTATTTATGCTTAGATTGAGCCATAGTTACTGAGAGCTTTTTCTTTCCACCTACAGGCTCCAGCAGCTGCTGTGCCTCCACCAAGTCCAGGAGTGGCACCCATTCCTACAGGTGTCTTCACAGATATCCCAATAAGCAACATTCGTCGAGTAAGAAAAATCTGGATCCAGAGCTGTTGGAGGCATATTTACTCTAGTTGTTTTGTTGTATTCATAATTTAAAACATTAACAGTCCTTTTTGTTTGGGAATATTAGATGATTAAGGAAAACTTGTTTGGTTAGTTGAATACTTAGGATAAAGAAATCACTGTGTATATATCTTCCTATTCTGATAATGCTTGGGGTTAGCATTATGAGGTAAGCAGAATGAAGAGGCAAACAGATCTGAATTAGGGAAGGTCTCCTCTCAACTCAAGATAATTGATTTTTGAATCTCTGGTTTCAGGTTATTGCACAACGGCTAATGCAATCGAAACAAACCATACCTCATTATTACCTTTCTATTGATGTAAATATGGGAGAAGTTTTGTTGGTACGGAAAGAACTGAATAAGGTAAAACTTCCAGAAATTCCAAATCTATAAATTATAAAATATTTTTCTCCACTAAACAGTTACATTTTTTCTGTGTATTTTATTACAGTATGCCAGTTGGTGATAAAAAAAAATGAATATCATTTTAATTTTAACTTGCTGTCAATATCCTAGAGAATTTTCATTTTCTAACCCTTGATTAAAACTTGTCACTTAAAGTCAACTTTGCCAGACATAGATTTTAGCCTAGCAAAGTCACTGGGATGTAATATTTGAGGTTTTTTTTTTGGTAAGTAAGAAACATTATAGATATAATTTTAGGAAGCTATTAAGTTCTGACTCAGGGTTCTTTTAACAGTTTAAGCAATTATTATCTTTTGGAAACTCTGTTTATATAATTCTTCACTGCTTTGAAAGATTTATTTTTTTAAAGAGAGAGAATTTTTTAATATTTATTTTTCAATTTTTTGGTGGACACATCATCTTTATTTTATTTTTATGTGGTGCTGAGAATCGAACCCAGCGCCCTGCGCATGCCAGGAGAGCACGTTACTGCTTGAGCCACATCCCCAGCCCTGAAAGATTTATTAACTTAGCAACACTATTAAACTTTGTAGAAGGTAGTCTTTAGTGCATGTGGTTGTTATATACACATTTATAAGTCATACTGCTTAGCTTGTATAATAGCTGTACTGCATATGTGCTGGGTTTGCATAATTCTTTAAAAGAACTTTTCTAGATTTGCAGTTGATATTTATTTTTTTTTTAAATACCGGGAGCTGAGGTTGCAGCTTAGTGATAGAGCACTAGCCTGGTGCATATGCAGCACTGGGTTTGATCCTCAGCACCACATAGAAATAAATAATAAGATAAAGGTATTTTGTCCGTCTATAACTAAAAGAAATTTTTTTTAAATACTGATAATTTTTGGTCATGATACTTAACCAGAAAAATTATTCCATGTTGTCATTGTGTGACGTGATCTATAAGTAGTTTCTGGGAAGAGAAGAGAGAACTTACACAGTTTGCTCTTTAGTACGAAAGGAGGATCAGTTTGTGAAACACAGATTGTCTTCTCAAATGAAACAAAATAAAACCATTGTTCAAGTGATTCCATTTAAAAATATTTTTAAAGAAATACTGAATTGCATGTCATTCTTCATACTAGTGTTGTAGACTAAATCCGCAAAATTGTTTTTCTATGTTCAGTATGCTTGTGTCTTTCTAAATACATTATATTCAGTAATAGGAGACAGTTTCAGCATTGTTTTTTTTATCTATATTCATTATTTAGTTTTAAATATTGGATTAGGCTAAAAGTCTTATTTATGGATGTAGTTATATGGCAAATTCTTGCTTATTAGTTTTTGTTTAAAAATTATGTTTAGTAAGAGCTAAGCTTTTTAAAACAAATGCAGACATTTATCATTAATAAAACCTATGGTTTAATATCAAAAAAGAAAGGAAAGAAACATTATATTTACTTTTTGTTTATAGTTAAGTATTATGCACTTACTTGGTGTTTAGGATTAGCATAAGGCACTTTTGGAAACATGATATAAGGCACAGTCTTTTATTGTTATGAGTTCCTAATTTAATTGGGGCTAGAATACTTGTGAAAATATGGAAGGCTTTTTTTTTTTCTTCTTTTTGGTGACGCTGGGGACTGAACCCAGGGCATCATGAATATTTTAGGCAAGTGTTCTATATCACTGAGCTATAGCTACAAGATTTTTGTCAAAGTAAAAATATTCATTTGTTGATCAGTCTCTCTCTCTTTTTGTTTTTTTCTACTGGGGATTTAACCCAGCGGCAGTTTACCACTGAACTACATCCTTTTTATTTTTTGTGATAGGGTCTTACTAAGCTCTGGTACGTTGCTTAGGGCCTCGCTAAATTGCTGAGGTTGGCTTTGAACTTGTGATCCTCCTGCCTCAGCCTTCTGAATTGCTGGGATTACCGGCATGAGCCACCATGCTGGACATGGATCAGTTTCTTTATGGTAATACTCATCAATTGCTAAATTTCATTGTACAGATTATTACAGGTAAAGGATCTATATAGATTTAAGTGTTATTGGAGTTTAGAGAAGGAGAAACCAGTGAGAGTAGTTGGGGAATTCACAAAGGACATAACTTGGTTGAACCATTCAAAGTTGGAATTGTTTTTATTGGCAGAGATGTTGAAGTAAGTTCATGCTAATTATGGAGTGCCTAAGGCTCTTAATTCTCCTTCCCCACTTTTTCTCCTTAGACTTGACACTATCTAATATATGTTTCATATATTTATTATTTATCCTCTTTGGAGCATAAGCTCCCGGAGAGCAGAATTTTTATGCATTTTGCCTACTGTTTCGTACCAGAGCTTCACTGTTAGTGCCCAGCATAGACTCTTAAATGTGAGATACATAGCTGAATGCATGAGTGAAACAGCGCCAGACCTCTGCAGATGGCTATAGGAGTTAAAGATGATAGCAAGCTTTTTTGTCAAAGTATTAAAGCTCTTTTTTCACAAATTTACTTGGAAATTAGGCAAATGTATGTACAATGTTTTTTTTTTTTTAACTTTTATTTAATTTATTTATTGTATGTGGTGCTGAGGATCGAACCCAGCACCTCCCACATGCCAAGCGAGCACTCTACCGCTGAGTCACAACCCTAGCCCCTGTATGATGTATTTTATTCAAATTCTTTTGAACAGCTTTATTGAGTTATAATTCAGTTATAATTATAATGCCATACTATTCATCCATTTAAAAAATTTTTTTTAATTGTAAATGGACACGATATCTTTATTTTATTTATTTTTTTATGTGGTGTTGAGGATTGAATCCAGTGCCTCACACATGCTAGGTAAACACTCAACACTGAGCTACAACCCCAGCCCCCATTTTCATCCATTTAAAGTGTACAATTCAGTGGGTTTTAGTATATTCACAGAGTTGTACAACCATCACCACAGTAAGTTTTAGAACATTGTTCTCACCCCAGAAAGAATTCTTCCACTCCTTAAACCAGGTGTGGTTGTGTATACCTGTAATCCCAGGTACTTGGGAGACTGAAACAGAGGATTGTAAGATTGAGGCTAGCCTGTGCAGCTTAGCTAGACCTTATCTCTAAAATAAAAAGGGCTGGAGGTGTAGCTCAGAGGTAGAATGCTCCTAGGTTAATCACTAGTAGGTAATTAAAAAAAGAGAGAGAGAAATCTTATACCCCTTAGCCACTATCCTATCAGACCTCCCATCATTCCAATCCTAAAAAACCACTCATCTACCTTTTTTTAAAATAATTTTTTAGTTGTCAATGGACCTTTATTTTTTTATTTGTGTGCAGTGCTAGAATCAAACCCAGTGCCTCACACATGCTAGGCAAGTACTCTGCCATTGAGCTACATCCCCAATCCACTCATCTACTTTTTGTTTCTATAGGTTGGTCTATTATGGATATTTCCTATAAGTGGAATCATATGATTATGTAGTCTTTTCTGAATGGCTTCTTTCATTTAAGATGTTTTCAGAGTTCATCCACAATGTAGCATGTATCAGTATTTTATTTTTTTAAACCGCTGAATAGTATTTTACTATAATGAGATATGTCACATTTTGTTGAGTTGTTCATCAATTGATGATGGACAACTCAACAAAATGTGACATGGATTGTTTCCTCTTTTTATCTATTGTGAATAATGTTGACATGAAATTTTTATGTACAGATTTTTGTGGGGACCTAAGTTTTCATTTGTTTTATTACATTTATGCCTAGGAGTGGAATTTCTGGATCATGTGACAACTCTTATGTTTAACTTATGTGTGTGTGTTTATGTGTGGTGCTGGATGAGTCCAGGGCCTTGTACATGCTAGGCAAGTACTCCTCCATTGAGCAACACTCCCTCCCAGCCTTTTGTTTACTTTTTGAGGAAGTGCCAGATTGTTTTCTGAAGTGGACTTGCCTTTTTATATTACCATCAACAATGTGTGATTGTACTAATTTCTTCATATCATTACTAATAATACTTGATTATCTTTTTGAGTCATCCTAGTAAGTGTCAAGTGTTCATTGTAGTTTTAATTTGCGTTTCCCTGGAGGCTACTCAGATTCAACAGCTTTTCACAAGTTGGCATTCTTAAATCTTCTTTGTAGAAATGTTTACTCAGTTAATTTGCTTTTTTTCTATAATATGGTTATCTTTTTATTATTATATATATGATTTCTTCATTTACTCTGCAGATCCCTTACTGTAGATAAATGGTTGCTAAAGTTTTTTTTTTTTTTTTTCCATTTTTTAGCTTTTAGTCTTGCTGTCTTGATGATGGGATCCTTTGAAGTGTAAACTTTTAGTATGTCTATTTATCCAAATTTTTCCCCCCTTTTGGCATTTTATCTGCTAAAAGCTCGGTTCTTGTCCTTAATGCCAATCCAATAACAAGAACACAGTTTTGAGAAAAAATGAATAAGAAATTTTATTGCTTTGCTAGCAAAGGAAAAACACTGGGGACTCCTGTCCCAAAGGCTGTGATTCTGCCCATCAGCAGGAACAGGAGGCTTTTAAAGAGGTGATTCAAAGGCTACATGTTCTCTGTTGGAGTTATAATTCACTTGTTAATTTGGAAGATAGTAATTTCTGAGATCTTCTGGTACTATCCCCAAAGTCTGGATAGTCTTTTCTGTGGTGGGTGTATAGACTTAAGGAGAGATAAATCTGCCTAAGAAAGGAAGAAAGGTAATCCTGTTTCCCCTGAGGTTAGGGAATGGGAAAGATTAGGGAGGAGCAGGGAGAGAGAAAAAGAAAGAAATGTGTTATATTAGTCTGGGTTCTCTAGAGGAACAGAATTAACAGGAAGTATAATTATAAAAAGGGGACTTATTAGGTTGGCTTATGTGACCAAAAGCTAGATAGTCCATAGTTGCTGGCTGGAGAGCTGGAAAAACCAGTAGGTGTGCATTCCAAGAGATTGAAGCCCCAGGACAAGAGAGATCAACAGTGCTTCCCTAGTCCAAGACTGAAGGCTTCTGGAGAATCTCTGGCAGTCTGCTTGGAAGAGTGAAGAAGTGAGTGTCTGATATCCTCAGATGATCACTATAGCAATCAAGAACCAATTCAAGAATCGAGTTTGCATCTCAAGAAGAATTGAGTTCCTTGCTTCCTTGTTCTTAAACTTTTATTCCATTCAAGCCATCATCCTATTTGGATGGTGCTGCCCAAGCTTAGGGAGGGTCTCTTTCAGTTGGCTATCTCACATGTTAGTCATTCCTAGACCTACCCTCACTGACACACCCAAAGCCTCTTAATCTTCACCATCTCTTAATCCAATCAAGTTGACAATTCAAATTAACCATTATACATATCCATTTTAAAAATAAGTTGCAGTGGCTGAGAGCAAAGTTTATATTCAAAGCATAAAGTAGACTACTGTTAAAAAGTCGTTGTCTAAGGTTATGAAGATTCATACCTGTTTCCTTGTAAGAGTTTTATAGTTTTATTGTGTATTTCTGCACAAATATAAGTAGGAGTCAACTTCATTCTTTTGCATGTTTACATTCAGTTGTCCCAGCAACATTTGTTTGAAAAGATAATTCTTTCTCCATTGAATTGTCTTGGCATCCTTGTCAAAATCAATTGACCATACATGTGAGAGTTTGTTTCAAGATTCTTAAGTCTATTCCATTGATCTGTGTGTGTACCCTCTAGCCAATATCACAATCCTGATTACTCTAACTTTGTAGTAAGTTTTATGGGTAGAGAGGTAGATGCATATATACATAAGTACATATGTATGCACATACTGGGGATTGAACCCAGGGTTGCTATACCATTGAGCTACATCCCCAGCCCTTTTTAAGTTGCTTAGGGCTTCACTAAGTTGCTGAGGCTAGCCTTGAACTTTTGATCCTCCTGACTCATCCTCCTGAGTTGCTGGGATTATAGGTATACACTACTATGCTGGTCTGCAGTAAGTTTTAATTGATGAAGTTAAGTCATCTTTGCTCATTTCTGGATATCTTGCCATTATGAATGAATTTTAGATTAGCTTGTAAATTTCTGCAACAAAGCCAGTTGAGATTTTGGTAAGGATTGCATTAAATTTGTAGATCAATTTGGGTGTTGTTGCCATTTTAACAATATTGTCTTCCCATCCATGATTATGTGATGTTCTGGCATTTATTTAGGTATTTTAATTTCTTCAGTCATTTAAGTAAATTTTAGAGAAGTTTTACATATTTTTTGTTGAATTTATTCCTAGATACTTTATTCTTTTGGGTGCTTATATGAATGGAATTGTTTTCTAAATTTCATTTTCAGATTGTACAGTGCTACCATACAAACAAAAATAAAACTGAGTTTTATATATTGGTCCTAGTTCCTGCAACTGTGCTAAACACTATCCATTTAATGTTGAGAAAGGGACTAGGGGGATGAAAATATACAAGCGATCCAAGGTGGGAAGGATAAAATGAAACCAGAAGTTGGTTCTTCCATCTTGTTTAATGTAGGCCTTAACAGATATACATTAATTTAAAGATTTATTTTTTTTAATCTAAGGATTAAATCTATACATTAATCTAAGGATTTATTTGTTTTTTTTATTGTACTAGGAATTGAATCCAGGGGTGCTCTGCCATTGAGCTACTTACTTCCCCGGCTATTTCTTTTTAAATTTGAGACAGGGTCTTGATAAATTACCTAGGCTGACTTCAAATTTGCAGTCTTCCTGCCTCACCCTCACCAGTAGCTGGGATTATAGGCCTGTACCACCACACCTGGCTCAATCAGAGTTATCTAATTTGTTCGCATATGGTTATTCATAGTATTTCTTATAATCCTTTATTTATATAAGGTAGATAGTAACATCTCTTGTTTCATTCCTGATTTTAAAATTTGAGTCTTCTCTTTTTCTGTCAGCCAAACATTTGTCATTGTGGTTGTCATTTGACTGATCTTTTCAAAGGATCAATTTTGATCTTGTTGAGATGAGTGAAAATTAAGACATATCATAATTTATGGGATGCATCTAAAGCAGTACTTAACAGGAAATGAATAGCTGTTAAGGCCTACATTAAACAAGATTGAAGAACAACTTTAGGTTTCATTTCATCCTTCCCACTTTGGATCACTTGTATATTTTCATCCCCCTAGTTCCTTTCTCAACATTAGGTGTACAATCTCAGACGTTGGGGAGAGAACTTAAGAAAACTATCATAGTTTCTTGTCATTACAGATGTTAGAAGGAAAAAGCAAAATTTCTGTCAATGACTTCATCATAAAAGCATCAGCTCTGGCTTGTTTAAAAGTTCCTGAAGCAAATTCTTCTTGGATGGACACAGTTATAAGACAGTAAGTATAACTAGAGGCTTATATCTATCAGCAGTTTTATTTCTTTCTTTCTTTTTGTTGTAGATGGACACAATTCCTTTTTTTAAAAAAAAATTATTTTTAATTTTTATGTGGTGCTGAGGATTGAACCCCTCACACACACCTCACACCACTACCACTGAGCCACACCCTAGCCCAGCAGTTTTCTTATGTTATCTAATGTATAAGTAAGAGTTAGAGGGGGATATGACATTCGTAGGTGAAACAATTTTAAAACTACACAAAACCATTTATGAGATAGTACTAGTTTAGCTAGTAAAGGTTATAAATTCTTTGTATGAGCTCAGAAAAGGGAAATTAGTATACAGTTGAAAATAGTGTTTGTTATTGTCACCGTGGTACTCAAGTATATTTCACATAAGGATTTCATATTTAATTCTTAATGGCCACTTTATTATTTTTTTTTAAATTTTTTTATTGTTGGTTGTTCAAAACATTACAAATTTCTTGATATATCATATTTCACACTTTGATTCAAGTGGGTTATGAACTCCCATTTTTATCCCATATACAGATTGCAGAATCACATCAGTTACACATCCATTGATTTACATATTGCCATACTAGTGTCTGTTGTGTTCTGCTGCCTTTCCTATCCTCTACTATCCCCCCTCCCCTCCCCTCCCCTCTCCTCTTCTCTCTCTACCCCCTCTACTGTCATTCATTTCTCCCCCTTGTATTATTTTTCCCTTTCCCCTCACTTCCTCTTGTATGTACTTTTGTATAACCCTGAGGGTCTCCTTCCATTTCCATGCAATTTCCCCTTCTCTCTCCCTTTCCCTCCCACCTCTCATCCCTGTTTAATGTTAATTTCTTCTCCTGCTCTTCGTCCCTACTCTGTTCTTAGTTACTCTCCTTATATCAAAGAAGACATTTGGCATTTGTTTTTTAGGGATTGGCTAGCTTCACTTAGCATAATCTGCTCTAATGCCATCCTTAATGGCCACTTTATGAGTAAGTGCTTTCCCTCCATTTTCTAGATGAAGAAACTGAGGCTCAGTGGATTAAGTAAATTGCCCTGTGTTAATATGTTAGTGTCATAACTATGATTGGAACCAGGATTCTGACTCCTAAGGTAGCCCGTTTCTAATATGAGATAGATGTTCTTTCTTCTTCTTATAATTATTATTTTTATGAAAAGGAAAAAAAAAACAAAAAGCGAAGCTCTTTCCCTTTCTGCTATGCTCTCACACACTTATAGCACCACATCTGTGACTAGATGTATGTGTGTGTGTGTTGGGGGGTGTTGGTTCCCCACACATCAACCAAGCAGTCAGTTCTGGAGTGTGTAGGTGTCCTTCAATTCAATTCAATTCTGACCCTCTACCTGGGGTTAGAGTCAGATCCCACAGACTGGGGACTCAGTCCCACTAACACTGCTCTCACCTCAGATGCCAGTCTTGAATTTGTCTACCTTTGCTGCTGAGCTACTGACTACAAACTGAGCTTCTCGTGACTTCCATCTTGGGTTTGATAATTGGTTAGGACAGCTCATAGAATGCAGGGATACACTTACCTATGTTTACTGGCTTATAGAAAAAATATTACAAAATACATAGATGAACACTGGATAAAGAGGTATGGAGTAATCTAAAACTTCCATGCTCTCACCGGGAATATCACTCTCCAATCACCTCCACATGATAGAAATTTCTAAAATATTAACATTGAATATATAAAATGCTATATGTAAATATAACATTAATGTAATATTTATGTTAAATATTTTAATTTTTTATAGTCTTCTCTTCTGTAAAATAATTGGGTCTAATTAAAATATGTAGTTTACCATAAATACTATACTCACTGGTTTTAATGATGACTTAAGGAGGGGGAATAATATTCTGTGTTCTCATCATGAATTTTTTCTCAATCTCCACATACTGGATGGTTTGTTGGTTCTAACTTTTTCCTTGGTCACTCCCCTCTTGGAGAACATCTACGAGTTTAATATTCCTTATAAGCATATTAGTCTCATAGTGTTGTTGTTATAAATTACCACAAAATTGATGGCTCGGAATTGAAATTTAGGACTTGGAGTTTAGCACAATGGTAGAATCCTTGCCTGGTATGCATATGACTCTGGATTTGATCTCGAGCATCAGCAAAAACAAATTAAAAAAAACAACATAAATTTACTCTCTCACAGTTCTGGAGGCCAGGAGTCCAAATTCAGGGTATTTACAGGATTTTGCTCCCTCCAAAGATTCTATGGGAGTATCTTTTCTTGCCTTTTCCAGTTCCAAAATATAGGCATTTCTTGTTTTGAGGTTGCATAAGTTCAATTTTTACTTTCATCTTTACATGGTCTTTTTCTTTGTATTCTCTTTTCTTAAACAGACTCTCGCTTGTATTTAGAGCCATCCAGATAATTGAGGATGATCTTATCTCAGGAAGTTAAATATACCTCCAAAGATGTTTTTCCAACTAAGTCTGCATTGATGAATCTGGGAATTAAGATATAGACGTATCTTTTGGAGGACTACCAGTCAACAGACTTTAAGTCTGTCTTCCTGTTTTTAGTACTGTCCACACCATCAACTCATGGATAGCTTTCTGGGGACTGAGCAGAAGTAGCTTGTAATTTCTGCCATTCATAGCCATCCATAATTCAGTCAAGGCTTGCTTTCTGATCTTCTGTAAAACCTTCTTGTGCCAGTTTGAGTTAGCCACTGTTGCTGTATATGCCATTAACTTTCCACTTCTCAGAATGTTATTTGGGCTTTTCCTTTCTTTGATTTTAGATTGATTGCTAACACTTAATGAGTGCTTAGGGAATTTATATTCATTATTTAATTCTCATGAGTATATTGTGAAGTAGGTACCATTTTTGCCTCCATTGCATATAAGGTAATTGAGGCACAGAGAAGTAATCTGCTACATATCTAGAGAAAGGTGAACCGGCCAAGATTTGAATCCCAGCTATATTACTTAGCTTTCTGTCACTGTGACAAAATATTTGAGACACACAACTTCTAGAAAAGGTTTATTTTGGCTCATGGTTTTATAGGTTTCAGTCCATGGTCCTTCGGGCCTGACATGGTAGAAGCAGCCTATTCATCTCATAACTGCTGGGAAGCTAAGAAAAAGACCTGGAGGTGCTCATCCTAATATCTCCTTCAGGGGCACACTCCAGTGACCTAACTTCCTTCTACTGGGCTCTACCTCTTAAAGGTTCCACCTCCTCCCAACAGCACCAATGGCTGGGACCGAGCCTTTAACACATGGGTCTTTGTGAGACATTGCAGATTCAAACTATAGCACCCCCAACTCTCTGAACCAAGAGTAAAACCTAGTCTTGAACCGCAACATTATACTGTTCTATCCTGTTTAAAGCATACCTGTCTTTTTAAAGCCTAGTTCAAGTTCCTCTTCTTTGAGTACCTACAGAAAATTATGCTCTCTGAATAGCCTTCTGAATAGTGTATGTATTTCTCATTTGGTACTTGCATTCATGCAGCAAACATCTGTTAAGCACTGGTTTTGGTTTTTTAATTTTAAGTATTCTGAAGGCAAGTATAGTTTCTTGTATTCTGTTCAATCCCTTCTGCCCATCATATAGGCAATTTTTAAAACAGCTTTAATTTACAGTAGTTTACATACCATAAAATTCCACAGCTCAACAGTCCTTGATTTCTGTAAATTTACAGAGTTGTGCAGTCTGCCATGTTCTAATTTTAGAAATTTCCATTACTTCCACAAAGATCACTGTTGTCCATTTGAATTTGAATTATTGCTCCTATCCTCAGTCTTCTCAGCAATATGTTCTGCTGACTCTATATGTTTATCTTTTCTATACTTATAGAAGTGGAATCATAAAATGTGCCTTGTTTTGCATCTGGCTTCTTTCACTTAATAATGTTTCCAAGATTCCCCATGGACATGCATCAGAAGTTTATTGTTTTCTATTGCTAAATAGTATTCATTTGTTTCTGTATAGGTGTACCATGTTTTTTTTTGCATTCATCAGTTGATGGACGTTTGGTTTCCCCTTTTTTGCTATTGTGAATAATGAACATTTGCATACAATATTTTGTGTAGAAATGTTTTAATTTCTTTGGAGTACATTCTTAGGAATAGAATCACTGAGTTATTCATTGGGTAAACATTTAATTTTTAAAGAAATTTCTATACTACTTCTCAAAGTGGTTGCACCGTTTTACCTTCCCACTCACAGTGGATAAGAGTTCCAGTTTTCTCCACATCCTTGCTAACACTTGTTATTGTATATGTGTTTTAAATAGCCATTCAAATTGATATTAAGTGAGTGCCATCTACTTTTAAGACTACATAAAGAAAATAACATATAAAGAAAGGATCAAGGTTGCAGGGCAAGTTCTATGAATTGTTTATTTTTTAAAATTTTTAATTATTTGTTCTTTTTAGTTGAATTGTTTAGTAATTCTCACAAACACCCTTCATTTATTTGTTCATACAGCCTTTCAACAAATACTTATTCAATATGTACTGTTTGCTGGATTCAGTGATAAACAAGTTAGGAAATACCATCCCTATTTCAGGGAGAAGGTTATTAAGCAAGTAATATTGTAATGACAATAACTTCAAATATTTTTAATTGGCACATAGTTATATGTATCTATAGGGTTGAGTGTGACATATTATTGTATGAATACAATGTATAATAATCAGATCAGGTTAAATGGCATATCTGTCACTTTAGACATTTGTCGTTTTGGGGGGGGGGGGTTGTGAACAATTCAGAATTCTCTCTACTAGCTTTTTTTCTGTTTTTCTGGGGAAAGGAGTGTGTCAGTACTGGGGATTGAATCTCAGGGTGCCTTTTTTGTGTGTGTGTGGTGCTGGGGATGGAACCCAGGGCCTTGTACATGCGAGGTAACGCACTCTATCAACTGAGCTATATCAGCCCCAAGCCTTTTTGTTTTGAGACAGGGTTTTGTTAAGTTACCCTGGCGGACCTTAGACTACTGGGTAGATGGGATTACAGACATGTACCACCATACCTGGCTCTACTAGCTATTTTGAAATATTCGATTAATAAAGCCCAGTTATGGTAACTGATAAGGACCACAATATTACTGGTAGAGGTCTCTGTGTTTGCAAGTAACAAAAGCCTGGCTCTAGCCAGCTTGGGCAAATTGGGGGACTTGGTACCTGCAGTCTTCTAGAACTTATCCCTAGGAAAGGCTGAAATGACTGGAGTTCTTTCTTTAGAGCAGAGCCATGCCTTCATGTGGAATTTTGACTTTTTCTCAATTGAAGAACACTTGGGCAGGATCCCTTAAAGACCCCATAGAGACTGTAGGTACAATTCAGAACTTGGATGGGGGAAAAAAGTCACCTTTTTTTTAAACCTCTATGAACATTTATTATCTCTTCCTTTCATAAATGTGGAGAACATATAAAGAAATGTCATAGTACTTGTGGTTAGTAACAAATAAAATTATTTTCATATCACATTGTAGTTATTACATCTATCTTTTTAAAAAAATTTTTTTGTAGTTGTACATGGATAGAATGCCTTTATTTTATTTGTTTATTTTCATGTGGTGCTGAGACTTGAACCCAGTGCCTCACACACACTAGGCAAGTGCTCTACCACAGAATAACAGCCTCAGCCCACTGCATCTGTCTTAAAATATTATTTTGCTTATCTCCACTTCAAAATGATAGTTTTGTTTCTTAAAATACTCAAATTACAAAAATAATTATTTTTGGTATTAAAAAATATTCTGAAACGACAGCTGAGGATGTAACTCCTCCTGGGTTTGAGTCCCAGCACTGCAAAAAATAAATCTGAGATGAAACCCAGATACATAGGTGCTTCTGGTGATTTACTCTGGAAAAATTTGGAAACCTAATTTTAAGTTCTGAGATAGCACCACCTCTATGTCCTGAGTACTCCTTTTTCCCTTCTAATGCCGTTCTGTTCTTTCACTCTTTTTTTCATCTGCTCAACTGCTGCCTACAGAGATTCAGCTCCAGCCTGTGCACCTCCATTTAGTCTTCGAGTTCAGATAGTTAATTCTTACTGAATGTTGTGTTTTTTGTTTTTTGCTAGCTACACCCATGTTTTTGGTCAAGAATGGTGGAGGAAGTTAGAGTGGTGTGACTCCAATTTACTGATAAAATTTTTTTTTTCTCATAATCATTTTTAAAAAGTGTAAGTCAAGGAGAGGGCACAGCAAAATGTATAAACTAGAACAGACACCTTGAACTGAAGCACAAACTGGCTCTAAAAATTTCTAAATATTCATATTCCTCCTTAACGTGGTGCTGTTTAAAATTTTTTAAATTTTTTTGTGGTATTGAGGATTATACACAAGGCCTTGCGTACTAGACAAGTACTCTGTCACTGAGCTATATACCCTGTCCATAGGCTCTTAAAAAAATATCAGTATTGATTATTTTTCATTTCTTTTTTCTTTTTAAACAGAAATCATGTTGTCGATGTCAGTGTTGCTGTCAGCACTCCTGCAGGACTCATCACACCTATTGTGTTTAATGCACATATAAAAGGACTGGAAACCATTGCTAATGATGTTGTTTCTTTAGCAGCTAAAGCAAGAGAGGGTAAACTACAGCCGCAAGAGTTCCAGGTGAGATAGTACATACTGACCTTAAAGGCTTATGTTATTTTTAAGGTCAGCCTAATGCTTATTTTATTTTCCACTGTTTGATTCTGCCACATAGTTTTAACTGATACTAGGTCCTAAAAATAAAGGAAAATTGAGTCACATGTCAAATGCTGAAAATAAGACATTTTCCAACTAGTGTGCAGAAGCCAATACAAAATTGTCGTAAGACCTTTCACAGAATATTTGTAATTTTTTCTAATTTACACTGGCAAGCAATTAATATGATCTCTTTTTAATCTTTTTTCCTTTAGGGTGGCACTTTTACAATCTCCAATTTAGGTATGTTTGGAATTAAGAATTTCTCTGCTATTATTAACCCACCTCAGGCGTGTATTTTGGCAATTGGTGCTTCAGAGGATAAGCTGGTTCCAGCAGACAATGAAAAAGGGTAAGTGCCAAATTGGAGAAGGAATTATAAGCTGACTTTCATTACATTATGCATCTGTTTCTGAGTTTGGTTTTATAGGTACTTACTGGCATGGTGTACTAGAGCTTTAATAGAGTCAGATGCAAATATAGGATGAAATTCCTTAGAGCAGAAACTTGTATTTTACTAAATGCAGTAATCCTATTTAAAATGGGATCCTGCTGGGCTCAGTAGTGCATGCCTATAATCCCAGTGGCTTGGCTTGGGAGGCTGAGGCAGGAGGATCAGGAGTTCAAATCCAGCCTCAGCAAAAGCCGGGCGCTAAGCAACTCAGTGAGATCCTGTCTCTAAGTAAAATACAAATTAGGGATGGGGATGTGGCTCAGTGGTTAGGTGCCCCTGAGTTCAATCCCCAGTACCCCAAAAAGTGAAATTAAATTAAAAAATAAGAAAAGTAAAATGAGATCCTATTGATGGGATCATATTTGAGATTTATTCTAGATGAGAGTTTAGCACACTTACAAGGGTCAGATAATAAATATTTCTGAGCATGTGGACTCTATTGCAAAACCCTACCATTGTAGTATGAAAGCAGGCATAAATAATATATGAAAGGATTAAAATTTTAAAAAAGAAAAAAAAAATCTCTATAAAAACAGGCAGAGGACAGGATAATGGCACATGTGGTATAATTTGCCAACCCCTGTTCCCAGGTGTCTCTCTGGTCTTTTTCTTCAAGCTTTTAATTTGAACTAAAGATATAGAGAACATGACCTTTTGTGTTCTATGAATCAAAATGCATTCTACTGTCATGTATAAAAAAATCAGAATAAATAAAAAATTTTTAAAAAGATATAGAGGGGCTGGGACTGTGGTTCAGCAGTAGCACGTGTGAGGCCCTAGGTTTGATTCTCAGAACCACATATAAGTAAATAAAATAAAGGTCTATCAACAACTAAAAAAATATTTAAAAAAGATATAGAGGACATGAAAAGTAGGTGGAAAATAATAATATTACTTGGGTTGGATTATAGGGTAGGAATCAGCATGTGGGTGATTGCTGGCTAAAATCTGTTTATTGCTTTCAGAGTAACTAATAATATTTTTACTCTTTCTAGATTTGATGTGGCTAGCATGATGTCTGTTACACTGAGTTGTGATCATCGAGTTGTGGATGGAGCAGTTGGAGCCCAGTGGCTTGCTGAGTTTAGAAAGTACCTTGAGAAACCTATCACCATGTTGTTATAATTAACCCAAGAATTTCTGTATTCTCCCTGGTCACATTGGTTCATTCTTATTGAGATATTTATGTTATTAAACAGGTGGTTGTTTTAAAGTTAACCAGTTAATTTTTGAGTCTATTTAGATAAATTATTTGTAATGGGCATTACTGAAATTTTTTTTTTAAATGCCAGTTATACCCAAATATTTACACATTTGGTAACTAAACACCAGATTTTAATCTGTGTACTTTTAGTCATGGGACATGTGGCCTAGCCTGAGGATAAGTATTTCTATAGGAGATATAGAATAGGTAGAAACCTGGTTCCCTAGAGACAAGTAACCTGAGTAAAACCTTACAGTTTTAAAGAGAAGTCAGGAAAATTACTTCTCAAGAGAAAGATCTGAACTGAATCAAGCTTTATTTTAGAATTTTTAACACTGGTTCAAAATTTTCTATTATATGAACTTGGTTTTGGTTTATCATTCATGGGAAGGGTATAGAACTTCAGGGAAAATAGCTGAAACTTTAAGAGTCCACATTTTTTTACACCTCTTCACTGGTTGGTCTTTATTTTTCTATGAATCTCTAAATGAAATGATTTTCCCCCTCTTACGATATAAATATAAATCATTTCTTGGTATAAATGAGAATTTATGTGGGTATTTATTTAAACAACTTAAATGTGTAATTCTGAAAGTAGAATTCTATAGTTACTTCCAAATAAAAGAACATGCTTATAAAATTTTAATACAATTAAGAAGTTGTGGAAGGGCTGGGGATATAGCTCAGTTGGTAGAGTGCTTACCTCCTATGCACAAAGCCATGGGTATTCAATCCCCAACACCACCAAAAAAAGAAAAAAAAGAAGTTGTGGAGGTAGAATTTTCTAAGATTAACTGAGAGTTGATTGCAAATGAACTTAGTTATCAGGATTTATTATTCAAATAACTGGAAAACTATGAAATAATTATGGAATATATACGGAATAAGTGTACATATGTAAAATATGGTTACTAAAGTTGGAGGTGTGCCAAACTCCATTTATCAGCAAGTCCTGTCTGAAAAGAGAAGGGATACACTGGTGATTTGTTTAGAATGCTAAAAAATGAAGCCCAAGCCAGGCACCGTTGTTACCCTTGTTGTCCCAGCTACTCAGGAGGCTAGAGGATCTTTTTTTTTTTTTGAAGAGAGAGAGAGAGAGAGAGAGAGAATTTTTTTAATATTTATTTTTCAATCTTTATGTATGCCAGGTGAACACGTTACTGCTTGAGCCACATCCCCAGTCCTTGTACCAATCTTTATGTATTTATTCACACATTTGATAAAAATGTCACAGTTAAAAGTGAAATCATTACAATGACATAAGTAACTCTACAAAGTCAAACTGCTTTTAAGTCAGAATATGGGGCAACCACAGCTGCTTAGCACCTGTGCCTACCCAAGCAGGCATGCTCTCCCTCACACACCCACTCACACTGGCAGGCACTAAGTTCGGAGGTTAATAACCCAGGGACTCTTCCCTGGCTCCACTAGAGGATCTTTTGAGCTCAGGAGTTTGGGACCAACCTGGACAATGTATTCAGTCCCTGCCTGAAAAAATAAATATAAATGATGTCTAAAACAAAATGATAATTTGTTTGGATAAAGTAAAAATGGTTAATATAGTCGTTTTTTTCCCTACCCTAGCATTGTCTCATGTAAAATAAGATAGCCCTGAAATCCTATTTGAGAGAAAAAATTAATTATGGCTACCTTATCAGTCTAAATACTTTTTTCAACTTTATTATTTTGCCTTTCTCTTGGAGAGGAGGAGGATATGCTATCCAGAACAATAAAAATGAATTGGGAACTTTATCATAGTTCCAGACTTTCTATTGAATTGACACGTTTTAATAAATGTTTGGAATTATTTATTATAACTACTTAAAATAAACCTGACCAGTGCTTCCTTGTATATGTAATATGTGCAACTATCCCCTGAAATTTGCTTTAAGTATTTCAGTGTTGAATCTGTTTCTGAATGTTCATTTATTATATGGTGCATAAGTGATACTCTATATATTCCTCAAACATTCACCTTGCTATATTATTATGAAAATAATTCAACATATTATTCTGATTTTTCACAGTATTTAGTAATTTCAGGTTGAAGATTATGCAAAAAGAACAAGTTTATCACAAGGGACCAAAATTAGTATGAGCCAAATTTGGTTCAAACAAGAAATTTCAAAGATAATTTATTCTTTGCTAATGCTTATGGCTCTGTTGTTCCCTTGAAAGAAAAATAAAAAGTTCCCATATAATAAAAAGTTGTTCTGAGTTAAAAATTAATCTCAGCTATAATCTAAATCTGGACTCAGTATATCTATCTTACCAGAACTAAAAGAAGAAAGCTAGAAAAGAAAAAGTCATGGATTTTGGTTTAAATTAGATTGTTTTAAAATTAAACTTTGTTTTCAATGTGTGTGGTCTAATTTTTCATCTTTTGGGAATTTTTAAAAAATGATTTAAGTTTCAGTGTCAGCTATATACTCATAAACTCTCAATACAGATAAATTGGTAAAGGTCTGAGTTTAGGAGGATAGCCAAGTCTTTAAGCTTAAGAAGTTACTGAAGCAGCCTGTGTTCAGACATGGTACTTATTATCAAAATGGAAAGAAAGTGAGATCTGGCTCTGTTTAATAATTTAGTCTCAATTCTGAGGTTTGTGAGTTAAGGTTATGGTATCCTGAAGCATATTCTATAAAAGGAGTAACTGTGTGAGAGACAATAGGAATATGTTGCAAAGGAAAGTCATTACCTATTAACGCATGAGTTGGAATATATGGGGAAATCATAATCACTACTGATAAGGGACCTAAAACTAAATTTGTAGAAAAACTTACTCTTTAAATTTCAAATTTTGAGAAGAAATGGAAGAAATCTTTTTTTCTTTTTATTTGTTCCTTTTAAGTTTTATGTGACAGTAGAATGTATTATGATATACATAACATGGAGTATGACTTCCCATTCTTGTAGTTGTATATGATATGGAATTATACTTGTTATGTATTCATTCATATACGAACATAGGAAAGTTATGTTGAATTCATTCTACTCTCTTTGCTATTCCCAACCTCCCTCCCTTCCCTTCATTTCCCTTTGTCTAATCCAGTGAACTTCTAATTCTTCCCTTCCACCCCCTTATTGTGTGTTAGCATCTGTATATCAGAGAACATTTGGCTATTGTTTTTTTGGGGATTGGCTTAACATGGTAGACTCTTGTTCCATCCATTTACCAGCAAATGACATAATTTCATTCTAAAAGAAGTCTTAATAAAGGGGTTGAGGTTGTGGCTCAGTGGTAGAGTGTGAGGTGCTGGGTTTGATCCTCAGCACCACATAAAAACAAACAAATAAAATAAAGGTGTTATATCTTAATAAGATTCAAATTTAAGCCAGCACATATTTCATTATTAATGCCCTTTCTGGGAACATAGTGCTTTTTTGTAGGAAGGAGGAGGCAAAAGTATTTTTCTTAATATAAAATCCATTAAGATATGAGTGATATTTAAGAAACTATCAAGAATGTAAATTTAACATTGTATTATTAAATATATTAGCTGTTGATATGCATTTTATTAATGAGTACACAGATATAGTGATGCAACAAGCACGTGTGTACTGAGTGCAAAAGGAGAGATTCAGTCAGTTCCTTGTGGTTAGGAGGATTTCCTAGAAAATACATTTTGACTGTTTTTGTAGAAGAAAAGATATGGTGAAGGCATTCCAAATGTTTTGAGAAATAACAATTTAATAGGTTTGTTAATTTTAGGGCATGATATCACTGCTGAAACTTTTCAGAAGATAAATTTTTGTATTGCTAATAGAATTCAAATCCAGGCCAGGTTTAAGAAAATTATATTTGCTTAACATCACACAAATTATTTCTTTTATCTATACAACATTAGTTTCTAAAGTTAAAGGTTTTAAAATTTATAGACTTTGTAATAATTAAAGAAGCTGTTTTATCTAGAAAAGATGATTAAGGAATGTTCAAAATTTGATGTGCATATTGCTATATCAGATTGTATCTGACACCTTAGATTAATGGAAGTTGAAAATATATTACTTCAGGGCTGGGGGTGTAGCTCAGTTGGTAGAGTGCTTGCTTTGCATGCACAAGGTCCTGGGTTCAATCCCCAGCATCACCACCACATACACACACATACACACAAATGTACATTACTTCATTTCTGGGGAGAAAGGTACTTTTCCTAAAATCAACTTTTTCCCTCAAATTAGAGATGGATCTATTCTGCTTATGATGAGCAATAACATCATTACTATTACTGCATCACTGTATCCATTAACAGACAAGTCCATACCTGATATTAAAAGGTCTGATTGGATGGCTGTTTAACTGAAGTACACAAGTTCATAGATGCATAGATTTGAGTATTATATTTGGCCCTGTATCTTTATTGCTGGAGGAAACTTTACTAAAGCCTATCCTGGTTTTAGAAAACTTTGCACAGTCTGGTAGTTTTTCCTAATGTAAAACTTTGCTAGAGATTTTAAAAGAAATTTTTTCAAGCAGTAAGACAAGATTTCCTACATGCTATTTGGAAATAATGAGAATTTTCCCCCCAAATATTTAAGTTATTAAGGTCAACTCAATTATTTTTAAAATAAGTACCTCATGGATTCACTGTTTTTAATAGTTTGGCGTTGATGACAACTTTATTTGAGAAGAAAAAGTGAGTGAAAAATAGATAAAACAGCTGAAGGCAAAATGTCAATACATCAAAGTGACCTCTTAAAAATATGTAATTAATATTTAAACCACTACCTCTTTATCTATAATTTACATGACTTATAGCATTAAAAAATCCCAAACATAGTGCAGCTGTTTTATACCAGTGGCATCATGATCATTAACGTAGATTTCTCTTTGATAAATTTTGCAGTAGTCATTTCAATATTAACAGATTCTGGAAGATTCAGATGTAATCTGTACTTTTCAGAGACCTCGATCAGTAAATCATCCTAAGAATAATAAATTGAGAGATTATTAAAAGGTGAAAATAGAAATATTTCCTGGTTAAAGTTTATGCTGTGGATTTTGCTCCCAGTTATTCACGTCTATAAGAGGAGAATCACTTTATTGCCATGTGACTTATAATGAGCAATAAAATTTCTGGTGTAAATTCCTGACATTTTGAGATTGTTATTGCTGCTCAGTATGTCAGATGTTAACTGATAGAGTACTAGAAGTAGGATATTGCCATACTAAATTATGTGGTATTGTTTTAAGAGTCAACCAGAAAACAGCAAGGAAACTTACTTGGACTTGAAAGATGTTTCACAGTGATAAAGCTCTTAGTGAATCTATCATGATCATTTGGAAGACAAATAATATACCTAATGAATTGGTGGATTTAGATGAAATGGGAAGTAGAATGTTAGCATCTTAGGTTCCTTAAAATATTTCTTTATTCCTTAGCTCCCTAGTTCATTGTTTTTCATGATCTGTTGGGAAGTATTTTGCTATGCAGTATCCACCTTGGCTACATCTTAAAAAGAATATTTTAAAATACGCCATTCTTTTTTTGGGGTCGGGGAGCTACCCAGGATTTCACTCAGAGGCACTTGACCACTGAGCCACATCCCCAGATCTATTTTGTATTTTATTTAGAGTCAGGGTCTCATTGAGTTGCTTAGTGCCTTGCTTTTGCTGAGGCTGGCTTTGAATTTGCAATCCTCCTGCCTCAGCCTCCCAATCTCCTGGGATTACAGGCATGCACCACTGTGCCCTGCTAGAATATGCCATTCTTATGCTCTGTATTTCACAAGATATTACAGGAAAAATTAGTATAGAAAATAATTGCGCAGTGTTTCAGTCAGCTTTTTTTGCTGCTGTGACTAAAGGATCTGACCAGAACAACTGTAAGGAGGAAAAGTTTATTTGAAGGCTCACGGTTTCAGAGGTCTTAGTCCATAGAAGGCTGGCTCCATTCCTCAAGGCTTGAGGTGAGGCTGAACATCATGGCAGGAGAGTATGATAGAGGGAAGCAGCTCACATCAGGAAGGGGAGAGAGAGACTCCACTCTCCAGATACAAAAAAATATACCCAAAGCCACGCCCCTAATGCCCACCTCCTCCAGCCACACCCTATCAGCCTTCAGTTACCACTCAGTTAATCCTTATCAGATGATTAATTCACTGATTGGGTTAAGACTCTCACAACCCAATCATTTCTCCTCTGAACTTGATTGCATTGTCTCACAAGTGAGCTTTGGGGGCATCCAAACCACAACACCCATGTTGCAAGTAGAATTGAAAGAGAATACATAGGAGCCCAAAATTTCTAATAATTGAAAACTGAAAAATTGAACATATTTTTGTTTTCAGCCAATAAAGGATAAAAATTGAGAAATTTTTATTAACAAAGCCTGATTTTGACAGTTTAGAGATAAGATTAAATCACAGATCTTTATGCCTGCTGTTAAAACCTCTTGAGTGGATTAAGGTAGACTTCAGTAAATCCTTTCATTTGGCTAAAATGACAGCAATTAAGTCTCAAGAGATAGGTTTTGAAACATGGGCATGTGTAAAAAGGAATTGTGGGTGTGCACTGAATGTAAGCAAAACAAAAACAACTTGGACTAAAAGGAACTGACTTCAAAATTTTAAATATCCTCTGGGCCTCTGACACTTCATGAGCAGGTCAGGCTGAGAAAGCTGCTCAGCACACGAGAAAGGCATAGTCTATAATATTTAAGATACAGCCAAGGTGGATAATGGAGAAGGAAAAAAAACCCTCCTGCATCTGGAGCTGAAGATCATGAAACTGGGGAGCTAAGAATATCCTTCACCTTCACGTAAAGGGCCTTCACAGGGTTCGCCTACTAGTATTTCAGAATTGCTGTGCACCAGGTAACATCAGTGAGTCTCATTTTTCCCATTTCTGAACTTACACTGTAAATTATGGCTTTCCTCTCCCCATTCCACATTATACAGTGGATGGGGCTGGAGGAATAAATAACTTGTTATGTCTTCAGGCTGTGATTCAGGAGCAACACAGATTACAATGGCAAAATCCTGTACTTTAGAGCCTGATACTGGGAATAGATGTGTTTTCCTTGAGCAGAGGAACAAATATCTGATCAGGGTAGAGTGACAGACTGTAGGAATGTTTCCAATTATCTGCCTTTTTTTTTTTTTTTTTGTACCAGGGATTTAATCCAGGAGCCATATCTCTAGCCTTTTAATTTTTTTTTTTTTAATTTTGAGACAGGGTCTCCACAAAGTTTCTGCGGCTGGCTCTGAACTTGTGATCCTCTTGCTTTAGGCTCCCAAGCTATTGGGATTACAAGTATGTACCACTACAACCAGCATAAGTTTATTCATACTTTTTTTTGTGTGGTGCTGGGGGTTGAACTCAGGGCCTCATGCATGGTAAACTTTACCACTGAGCTATTTCCCGAGTCCTCAATTATCTGCTCTTTATAAGAGAATCATTCCTGCCAGGGACTTCTGTCTTTACCCAGTCTTACTGATTGGAAGATTTGGCCTTGTACTTTGGCTAATGCAATGCAATCAGAAGTGATCCATACTGTCTGAATGGAAGTTTTAGCCCCATTGCATGGGTTACCATTTCTACTTTTCCTCTACCACAAGAATGGAATATCTCAGATGGTAATTACTCCATCTGGATCTCGGAATGTGACAGACTCATGGAGCAGAACAGGTATAGCTGATAAACCTGAGCAAATGGTAAGCCCCTGAAATTCTGAAGTTCATAACAGAGAATGCTGACCCTCTGAATCTAAAGGTTCTGCATCCATGGATTCAATTTTATCTTGGACTGGAAATGTAGAATTCATTGGAAATGATGACTGCATCTTTATTGAACATGTAATAGGCTTTTGTTCTTTTCATTATTTCTGAAACAAGATAGTTCAACTACTTGCTATAATTTGGATCTTAAGTATCCCCCAAAGGTTCATGTGTAAAGGACTGCTCCCCAGGGAAGCAGCTAGTGGGAAGTAAGGCGGTGGAACCTTTAGAAGATAGGGCCTAGTGGCAGGTCTTTATGTCATTGAGGCATGCCCCTGAAGCAGACTGGACCTTGGGTACTTTCTTTTTCCCTATCACTATAAGATGAGTGGTTTTGCTCTGCTACATGCTCCTGCTGTGATGTGCTGCCTTGCCACAAGTCTAAAAATAGGATCAATTGATCATGGATGGGACCTTTTGAAACTGTGAATCATTCATTTTTCTTTGAAAGTTGATTATTTCAGGAAATTGTTATAGTAACAAAGCTAATGCACAACTACTTACGTAGGATTTCCATTGTATTAGGTTTATAAGTTATCTAGGGATGATTGAAAGTATATAGGAAGATGTGCATAGGGTACTCCCATAGGTTATATACAAATTTAATATAACTATAATATTTTCATATAAGGGACTTGAGCATCCTTGAATTTAGGTAACTGTAGGAGTTCATGAAAACAATCTCCCATGGATATCTAGGGACTACCATATTACCTTCTGAACTTACCTCAGAAACGCTAAGGTCACAGAGAGACACTGAATTAATACCAGGTAATTCAACTTTTAATTCAATTTTCAGAGGTTTCTCATTCTGATCCTTCACAATTTTTAATTCATAGACTGGTGTCTTCATCTCCACCTGTATTTCAGTACTAGAAATCTCTTCTATCAAACGTCCCGCTTTGCCTGAAACTTGGTCTTTGGGCAGTAACAGCTGAGGAAATTGATCTGGATTGCTCACAGTACTGCTACTTATCTGTCCAAGACTATGTTCTTTATGAAAAAAAAAGGAGGAGAGATAAAAATTACAAAATGCTATCAGGTTTGAGCTGCAAGATATGTATTGTTAGCTGAAATGGAAGATAAAGCTGCAGTTAAATTAGTTTAGGAATATTAAGCCAAAAGAATCTGGGGATGTAGGTCAGTGATAGAAGCCTTGCCAAGTATGGGAGCTCCTATGTCTGCTCCCTAGTGCATCCAAACCAAAAAAAAAAAAAATCTGGTTGAACAATTTAGAAGTCTTCATGGATTCTTTAACATTTCTAATATCTAATTTTTATATTTTTCTTTTAAGTTTCTCATCATTGAAGACTTCTAGATTGCAAAACATACACAGGTTGCAAGAAAATTTTAAATCAAAAGTTTAGATTTTGATTTATATTCATCTACTTACCCTTTCTCATTCTCTCTTTTAAATCTGTGCATTCAGCCTGTATTCCCATTAGATTTTGTTTTGTTCTTTGAATGCTTCCTTTTATTCTGAATTTGGTAATATGGTAAGTGTGTGAGAGAGTGAATTGAAGTTGTTCTTCAATGCATTTCATAGTCATCTTTACTAACTGATCTTTTTTCACTTGGTCCTTTTCTGCTGTCTGGAGAATATCAGGATTGTAGGCAACATCGATGACTGTGTAAGTATCTGTGTGTAATTCAGAGGGTATAAAGTGAAGATAAATTCTTTCTCTCATGATAGTGTCAGGTTATATATTAAACTATATTCCCAATAAAGTCTGTATTTTTCAGATCCAATCACAATAGCATTATATACACAAAATTCCAATGAAGGCATTGCTTAGCATCTTCATATGGGTTAAAAGTGGCTCATATTATTAGGAAATTTGAACAGTGTTAAATTTGCATGGTAATTCATTTGTCATTAATTATGTTATTTTTTTAATATTTATTTATTTATTTTTAGTTGTACACAACACCTTTATTTTGTTTATTTATTTATATGTGGTGCTGAGGATCGAACCCAGGGCCTTGCACGTGTTAGACGAGCGCTCTACCGCTGAGCCACAACCCCAGCCCTGACATTAATTATGTTATGATCAAATAAAATATTTTACTTGAAATGCCTTTACCAAGTAAACTCTGATCCATGCTAATTCCCAGTAAAATTTTAAAAATATGTTTTCTCTCCTTTAACCCATTGTACCTGATGTCTCAGAGATGTCTTCTGGTCTGCCAACAATTAGAGGTACTGGATGAGTGAGTGATTTGGGAGCAGGGATCCTTTTCCACTGACAAAGGTTGATAAAAAGCATTTTTTCTTTTGGTTTCTGGAAAGCAAATAATTTTGATGTCTCAAAACCTTAAAAATTTAGTTTTCTTAACTTAGGTTTTGATAATATCCTCAAAGCAACTCACAATAAAGCTGGAAGAGGGGGAATTTTAGGCACTAAGTCATTCCATGTATTAAAACCATGTTTGATAAATTATACTTGATTTTCCCAAAGCTCTTGACTTTTTCAGCATGAATCTAGCTGCTGTTCCCTCCCCAAAAACACTTCACAGCAGAAGGGAGAATTTATCTAAGCGGTTGATCTAGGTGCATTTGACCCCATTTCACCACTTCATATCTTAAATAAGTTCTTTATTTGAAAAAGATTCAACTTTACAATTCTCTATTAAATCACTACATCATCTTTTCCTTCTAGCAGAAAAAGTGACTCATTTTGAGATTTCCAAAACATATCAAGTATGAATTTCCCATTCTTACTCCTTCAACACAATCTTCCACACTATGTTCCATTTTCTATTTAAAAAGGCAGATTTCATCAAGTTTTCTTGTATGAAAATAACAATTGCTAAGGGTAAGGTATTCATTCTTTGGTTATTCCAGGATCATTCATTCATTCAAGACCTCCCCATCCCTAGCACTAACTCTACATACATACCAGCATCCTGGTCTGTACACAGAACTGTGGTTCTGGGCCAGCACATAGCTGTTTTCCCTCGTTCAGCTCTTGTTCAATAAAGTTTTTATAGCCCTCAGGGTCATTTTCAGCTAGATCATCTAGAAGGGTCCAGAACTGAGTAAGCTGGGTGAGTAGACCTTTTGAGGATGTCTTCATGATTGATAGTAAAATAGGCCTCTAAAGCCTGTGGAAAGATATAACTTAAAGAAAAAACTGTCTGTGTAACTATTGACTTATTTATTTTTATTAGGGGAGGGGGAACTCATCAGGAATTTTTTTGGTGAAGTTAAGGTAAGCTAACCTTAACACCTGTGTCTAAAAGATTGTGGCCCAGCACGACTTTATCATTTCCTTATTCTACATCCCTTCCTAAATTCTTAAGTTGACCTCTCAGATAAGGCCTTACCTCTACCTAGACCTTCACAAACCCTAAGTGAGCATAGCAGTCATCTTCTGTCTGGGTTTTCTGGTGATCTAGGTGATTCCAACACCTGAATATTGGTTGACTGGAGCCTCCCCAGTACTGAAATAGACAAGTTTGTGTGTGGGGTAAGGTCCACATGAGATCTTCTTAATCCTCAGTGTAGTTTAGTGGTTAAGATCAAGGACTCTGAGCCAGTATGCATAGATTCTAATCTTAATTCTATCTCCTGCTAGCTATGTGACCTTGAGTAAGAAATGTAAATATGTCTCTATTCTACTCAAAATGAAGATAACTCCTATCTCTGACAATGAATGTCAGGATTAAATAATTAGCTCCTTAAAATACAGAAGCTGGAACACTTGGTAAACATTACATAAGAGTAATAATATTTCTATCTCTTGAGATAACCCTCCTGGTCCCCCTACCCTCTTCCTACTGGAGAGGTGTCTCATAGCGTCCACAGAATGAGGAAAAGAGGAGGCTTAGAGTCTTTGAATACTACATTAGGGTTAGATTAAATAGACAACCAAACCCAACGAACAATCATTCCAAAAGCTTGGGAACCCACCTCTTCTCTCGGTTCCTAGACTAACCGCGACGCCTGTTACCACGGTAACCAGACGGTACAACTTGTAATTAAGCCCGGGAAGCTCCAGCCAGAGAAGGTCTCTTTACATGCAGTTCCGGAATGTCCCCCTTGTGGTGCCGGGCTTGCACTTCAGCTGGACCAGACCGGTGTTCTCTTCCAAGAAAGCGCCTGCTTCCTTTCCGTAGGCGTCGGCCCCTAGAGTGCCCAGGAAACCCTCCCAGAGGGAGTCTTGGGTCTCCGATAGGAAGGAAAGATTTCTCGCGAGCACGACTTCCGGCCTGGAAGGGAAGCCTCCTCCTTTTTCTCCCAGATCGCTTCCTCCCCCCGCCCCCGCCACGCGAGGCTACGGCGCACGGTATGGGTGTGTTTGTGTGTATTTGTGTGGGGCGGGCGTTTGGAGGGAAAAACACCGGGAGCTCCAAGGCCGCTGGGGGACAGGGACCCCGGTGACAAAGATGGGGGTATTTTCTCTGTTTTCCACTTGGAAACCTCAACCCCCATTTCAAGCACCCTAGACACTTTTGGGGCCCAACGGAAGGTCGTACCCATCCCGAGCGTCTTCATCCTTTCTGGGGAGTGAAACCCTACTCCGGGGGGCTATCCCAGCAGAGTGTGAGCGGGGCATGCTTGGGTCAGCCCGGCGGTCCGGATTCCGTACCGGCGCTCCCTCTGGTCTCAGTCCGGGAGAGAGATCTGGGCTGGGGGAAGGCAGCCGTGGCCTGGGCCACGGGTGAGGGCAGAATAACCGGTGGGAAGGCTACGTTTCACGAAGGACTCGGGTGAAGCTGCAGAGCTGCCTTTGAGCCCTGACTCCTTGGCTTCCTGGGTCGGAGGAGATCTTGTAATGGAGTGGTTCTTCGTCTCACACTAACAAGATGCCTGATTTCCTCAGGATCGAGGGGTGAGTGAGCGTTGGGGTGGTTACACAAAGCCCCTGCTAGCTGCACATGTGCATAGCTTTGTCATCTAGTTTTTGGAAACTTCCATACAGAATAGAAAATAAAAGGCCCCGAATTAAGAAATTAAACCCATCTTTGCATTTGATGTTTTTAGGCATCAGTTTTTGTTACTGTTGACTTTTGTGGTTTCTGACACTCTTAAATCTAGGTATTTGCTTCATCGCAAACTAATTTTGGGATTCGAGATTTGATTTCTAAACTGGACATTGACACACATCGTTTGCCTGGGATTATGAGGCCTGGGGCAAGTTACGACTTTTTAAGGGAACTTCATCTACAAAATAGGAATGGAGATGCAGTCGGCCCTTCGGTATCCTCTGTTCCGCATCTTCGCGTTTTCGGGTTCAACCAACAGCCAATTGAAAATATTGAGAAAAAAATTGCCTCTGTACTGAACCTGTACAGATGTTTTTCTTGTTGTTATTATCTAAAGAATACACTTTAGCAACTATTTACATTGCATTGTATTGGTATTATAAGTAATCTAGAGATGATTTAAAGTATACAGAAGGATGTACATAGGCTAAATGTAAATACTACTCCATTTTGTATTAGAGACTTGAGCATCTTTGGATTTTGATATCTTCAGGGTCCTGGAACCAATCCCTTGTAGATACTGAGGGACAGCTATTTGCCTTATTAAAGCGTAGAGTTGTGAAGATTAAATAAATCTGAGCCTATGAAAGCACTTAATTTTGTGCAGTCTTACAGAGTTTTAAAGGACTTTAATGTGCATTATTTCTTTATATCCTTATATTAATTGTGATCAGATATTTCTTTCTTTTAATGGTGAAGGAAAAACTATTCCTCAGGACCTTTGACTTCTAGTTCAGTGATCTTTCTTTTACCTCATACTTCTTTATAAAATTTAACAAAAGATGAGACAATCAAAGAGATTATTAAGTGTTATTTATTTATTCCTTTCAGATTGAAGAATGTCTCGGGTTCCATTGGGGAAAGTCCTCCTGAGGAATGTCATCAGGCATACAGATGCTCACAATAAGGTGGGAGGTACATCCTAGTCATTGCTCAACTCTTAGCCCATGTAGTACACTAAGCATTATTCTGGCACAGTTGGGAAGTACCAGTATGAATCAATAGATAATTACAGTACAGTTTGGTAAGTACTATTTAGTAGAGACAGTTACAAAGTGTGTTAGAGCACTGAAGAAGGAATATTGAACTCTGCCTTGGGAAATTAGAAAAGTTCCTGCAGAATGAATGTATTTGAACTGCTGATATTTTAACTGGTTCTTGATGAATTGCTATAATTTTATTTGATATAGAAGGTCATTCTGAACAGAGTATCATCTATGGAAACAATAAGGCATGGGCTGCAGCCGTAGCTCAGTAGTAGAGTACTTTCCTAGCATGTGCAAAGCCCTGGGTTCAATGCCCAGTACCACCAAAAAAAAAAAAAGGGCATGAATCACTTGGTGTGCATCTAGAAAATAGGGAATATAGTATTAGATAAGATCTGAATGGCAAATTAGGGTTAGTTTGTGATGTTTAGAAATTACACTTTTACCTCAAAGCAATAAAAAAGCCATCAAATATTTTCAGCAGGGCATGACATGATTATATTTGTATTTTAGAAAGATGATTTATTAACTGGGTAGGGAATAAATCAGATGGGAGAAACAGTAGAGGGATCATTGAGGAAATGAATATAGTGTTCCAGGTGAGAGATGATGAGGGTTTGAATGAAAGCAGTGACTGTAGGGATCAGAAGAGCAATTTAGGAGATACAGTCCAAAAGTCTTGGAGACTGATGGGATGATAGTGATAAGAGTGGAATCAGTGTGTGTGACTAGGTAGATGATAATGATGGTCCCATTAATTAAAACAGGGAACAATAACAATGAAAGATAAATATGATGAGAACTTTATTTAGTTTGGTTTTGACCATTTTATAGTGTGGGGCTTACAATTGAAAGTTTGAATTTGGAAGAAAGGAGAAAAGTTGGGAATGGACATAAATGAAAATTGATATGTAGATAAATGATAGAGGTCATAAGAGTAGGTAGATAAGGTCACCTAGGAGAGTACATATAATGAAAAGGAGGGGCCAAGACCCCTAGTTTAGTGTTCTTCAGTAAATTGTACCATTGGTTTTATCATAAATAATACCACTATCAGATCACTTGAGTTTTTAATTGTGGGTGAGGTTATAACTGCTACTTATGCTGATGTGCAATTGTGTTAACCTACTTCTAGTTGTATGGGGGACTTAAGATTTGAGAGTGGTAGCTAAAAATGATAAACCTAGCACAGATTTAAAACAATTATGCAGGAGAAATTAGAAATAAAATGTGTTCTTGTTCGTGGGCAGTTGTACTTTGCTTTCTAGGAAATTCTCTAGCAACCATACTGTTTTTGTTTTTGACAAGAATTATAATGTCAAAAGAGTCTTGGCTTAGAAATTTTAGTTTTTTTTTTTTTTTTACTTTCTCTGAGCTTTTGTTTTTTCTCAGTAAAACGTAATAATGATACCTGCCTTGTTTTCCTCATAAAGTTGCTTACGAGTCAATTGAGATTATGTAGTTAAAATTATGTTGTATCTTAGAAATTGTTGTTATTTGTTAATTGCAGCACAATTGTAAAATTGGTAGGGTAGTAAGTCTGATTATGCAGGGGTTAAAAAGTTCTGTTGCTGTAGAATTCTACATACTTGAGATTTCATCTATTAAATTGTTCAGCCACTTTCTAGAGAAGCCAGAATTTATTTTCTAGGTGCCTGATCATAGTCCAGTCTGTAACCTGTAATTAGTGCAGACTGTATTTTCAGATACTTTTCTGCAATGTAAAGTGTTATTTTTAGTGACTTATTTTTGTTTCTTTCCTTTTAAAAATAAATCTAGATTCAGGAGGAGTCGGATATGTGGAAAATAAGAGAACTAGAGAAACAGATGGAGGATGCTTACCAGGGGACGAAAAGGAAAATGTTACCCAGCAGTTCAAGGTGAAGTTGCAGCTCTGAGAACCAGAATATTTCTCATCTTCTTAATAATCATCAACTTTTGCTTAAAAATATTTTGATATGTTAAGATAGATAAATTCAGTCATGTGAGTTATATTAAGCCTTCCCTTTTTCACAAATCTACACCCAAACATAAAGATAATGACTGTGATCCATATTCCATATGCTAGACACTTTGTATTTATTTGCCTTTTTTTTTTTTTTTTCCAGTGCTGGGGATTGAATTGAGGGCCTCACACATGCTAGTACTTATTCTAAAATTTCTTACTCCTACAGCTGAGCTACATTCCCAGCATTTTTTTTTTTTTTTTTTGAGGCAGGGTCTTGCTAAGTTGCCAAGGCTGGGCTTGGACTGGAAATCCTCCTGCCTCTGTGTCCCGAATTGCTGGAATACCAATCCTTTTCATTTAATTTATTCAAGTTTATTTTGTGGTACTGGGGCTTGAACCATATCAGTGGGCATTCTACCTCTGAACTAAATCCCCAACCCTTTGTATCTTTTATTTGAGAAAGGTCTCACTAAGTTGCCAAGGCTGATCTCAAACTTGTGATCTTTTTGCCTAAGCCTCCTGAATCACTTGGGTTATAGTCATGTGCCACTATGCCCAGCAATACTTATTTGCAATGGAAAACTTAAAAAAAATTTGGCTGTGGACAATTGTAAATATTTAGGGTCGTAGATTCTGACCTTGTCTAATAGTTTTTAAACTTACAGTTTTCTATTGGAATCTTTTGGTCATTTAATTAATCAATCATTTCATTTCCCTTTAACTTTTCATTCTTTCAGCCTTTTTCTTTGCTCCATCTACTTACTGTCTTTGCCAGATCAATAGCTTTCCACATTTCCTTTGTAATAATTTTGAGTGTGAATGTGAAGGATTATACAAGCTTAGTTTTCTTTTATCTGTGGAGGTATAGGAATGTCTGAGAAACTTGGAACATCTCTTAGGCTTCACTCATATGCCTGTAAGTGTAGGAGCTATGTTTAAGAGAAATGAATATAAAGTCATAATTCTGATTTCTAAAGCTTTTTTTGGGGGTGGTGGTGGAAATTAACAGTTAATAATGAGATATTTAAGGAGAGTATGTATGCCTATGGAGTATGTGGACTTCAGTGTATGATTACCTATGTGTGAATAGCTTCAAGTAAGAAGTATTTAGGATGTACATGGGAAAAAGACAGTCACAATATAAATAAATATCTGCCAGGGTTTTTTTTTTTTTTTTTTTCCTTTCTGAAGGTGGTCCTTTGAGAATTCAGAAGTAGAGTT